CCCACATCATCATGGAGCCACGGACGTCCCAGTCTTCCGGCTCCTTGATCACCCGCTGCTGCGTGTTGTCGAGGACCTGCTTCCTGTCGTTGCCGGATTGTTCAAGTTGTATTGAGGGTGCCCAGCACAAGCTGCTCACAGTATTCATATAGCCATCATAGCCGGCAGACATTGAAGGGAATCCTTTAAGTAGCACGTCCACTGTAACGCGCGACTCCCAGTCCCAGAGCACTTAGAGCACTCCTTCGTTTCGACGAGATAGCTCTGAAGGTCCAGGCGGCTGGCCAATCTGTGAAAATAGTGTCGCCCAAGGCCCCCTAAAGTTGTACCGGGAATGCTTCGCCTCGGTGGCTTCCGCAGCGCTGAGCATGGAGCTTCACCTAGGCGGTGGGCCGCATGCTGCCCGAATGCGCTCACATGCCGCATATGCCGCGTTGCCGGTGGATCGCTTCGAGGCTCGTGTGGTGTGGGTCGTCTGTGTTGGATGGCAGCAAGAGGTGGCTCTTCTTGGGCATTCGCAGACAGCGCTATCTGTGCAAAGGGCGGTGCAGGTGACGGGGGTCACGGTACCAGCGTTTCCCGCTGTGCATCCTGGGCCAATGCTTTGATTGTCTTGGGCCGGGGGCGCCTTACTGCGCGGCGACTGCAACCTTGGTTGACTCGGCCGTCACCGCCTGTGCGCTAGGAGCAGCTAGCGAGAGTCGGCGAAGTGGACCGCCTTGGGCTGGTCGTCCATGCAAAGCTTTCATCATGAAACGAACGTAGTCATGGCTCTATGGGCATCGATGCCTATCGAGGAGACGATATACCGCCCCCGCCTGCTTACGAATCGCAGTGTACAGGTTGTCCAAAGCAGGAATGCGGGAAGAAGCCATGGAGGATGCTAGCCGGCGGGGCCATGACTTCAGGCTGGCGGATATCCTGGCCAAAGAAAATAATCCAGTCGCACAGTGTTGCTCCCGGCATGGCGTTCCAGCTGAGCAGCTGCAGAAGAATGCCTTAGCCTGAATACTCGGCCGTGGCTCAAATCGGTCCAGGGCCTTTGCTGCATCAAAAACCAAACAACTTGCTGTTGGACCGAGCCTCGATCCAGAATGGCAACGGATAACACGTGAACAAGCAAGTAATCCGAATGCACTAGTTACGGCTAGTTGATTCGTTGATTGAAGCTATGCTTAAGTTGTTATTACTTCGGCAGGCGCAGTACAAGACGTGGCACATAGGGTTTCCTCGGTTAAATCGGCACGCAGCGCCAAATCAGACGTGGAGCCCCCACTAGTTCACTGGCCTCTCACTAATGCATCTCGGAGGCCTCTGCGAACGTCAAACGGTCAAGCAGTCTTCGATGGTTTGGAGAGGCCCGGCTGCGCACCTGCAAAAAAAAGTTTCGTGTCTGCGCGAACTGCAATACAGTACAGAACAAGGTGTGCTGCAAGCTTGGTCATGGTATGTAGTTCACCCTCTGACGAAAATCTTGCATAACTTACCCTTCCTCTACACAATCTCCACCCATTTTGGTCATTCAATTGAACGTTCTTGCTGGTCCATTTGTGGTGAGGCTTGGCCTCACTGCATGCGAATACAAAGGCTGGTGCCGCCACAAGTTTGGTTTAGGCACTCTGCAAATGTGGCCGGTGCTGCGGAGCCATTGCAAGACAAATTAATGCTGCCCTAATCGCAGAAGCTGAGGATGCGCCTGCTTGACACCGTGCCCTAACTCTGGCTAGCCTAACGAAGTACAGAAGATGCGAAAATTCTCGGTCCTTGACTTCTTCAGGTCTCCGAAGCCCTCACTTTTTCTAGGTGCCTCAGGACGCCTTGAAGCTTAGACTGCGCAGCAATCCAGTGCATCCCTTAGCAGTACCCCTCAAAGGCCTGAGATATAGCAAAATGCTCCGGTTTCGAAAGCAAACCCTTGCCTAAGATTTCCATACTGCTTGCTGAGGCTCGGTACAAGTGGATTCTTCACAGATTCAAAATTGAAACACGACATAACAACCTTCTCTGCACGCATGACTTTTAGAAGCAAATTGATGATGGTACCTTCGTCTGTGAGGAGCGGCAGCACGCCACCACAGCAAAGAATCCAAGCCCGGTTGCCGCTTTCACCCAAGCACCTGTGGTACCCAGGCAAACTGTAAACTATCATGTGAATAAGCGCCACATCACAACCAACGTTCCTCCTGCTGGATAAACTGCGAAGATGCACCAGCGTAGCATTCTCGGCATGCTGGGCTCTCAGTGTGATGTACTCCGTACCTGAGGAAGCAGCAGCTCTGCTTTGTTGTTGCAGTCTGCTCGACTGCCAAGACCTAACGCAGGCATGCAGCCGCACGGGTACGCTGTGCAACTCGTTAAAGCGCAGACTTGTTGGCACGTGTCCCGGCTCCATCATGGCAAACACAGCAATAGTCTTCCTAGACACCAGGAGCTGGGCTTGGGCGACCACGTAGCTGGTAAATCATGCTTGCATCAAACCGGGCCGGTCCTCTACAGCAACCTATGCATGCTCTGGACGGTTCTGAGGCAATTTATTCCTGTGGTTTGCACAGGACAGAGCAAGGCCAGGCCCCCACTATTTCTTGCGCCAGTCCCTCCACTCTTGCCCATCTGGCGGCGATGGCCTGAGGCAGCAAGGCAAAACCCAATGGCAAAGCTGCGTACGCAGATTCTGCAGACGCAGGGTAACCAGCAGAAATATCCAAGTTTGCAGGGAAGAGGCACAGCTATTCTCCTAGTTCATTCAGTCGTCAGGTTTAAGAAGCAAGCACAGCGAAACTACCGTACAAGAAAACACTGTATCAGAAACTAAGGAGCCCCTAGGCTGCCAACAAAAAACAAATTTCCAGCTGCTTCCTAGTAAAGAAACTTAGGGTACACTAGATTTGGGCCAGTGTCTTCCTTGTAGTCTCCCTGCCCCCACGCCCCCGGCTGAGAAACTAAACCCCCCCTTTATTTTCTTAGCCGAACCATCGGCGCCCCGTCTGCCAAGTCCCTGAGCCACCCCTTTTTTCCTGGACTTTGGCGAAGAAACTAAACTCCCCTGGTTTTGGGGTGACCAACGGACCCGGTGAAGAAAATGAGGGGGGGTGCTTTCTTAGCAGAGGGCTTTTGGGGTGACCAAAGGACGCCGTTAAGACATTAAGGAGGGGATACTTTCTTAGCAAGGGGTGTTTTGGTTGACTAAATAACCGGTCAAGAAAATGAGGGCGGGCTTACACTCTTAGCACGGATGATATTAGGGTTGTATTCAAGTTATATTAGGATAATGGAAAATGAAACGGAAACTACTATTCAGAGGGTCCAAATTTTCTGGATCTGAGGTGCAGCAGTGACGGAATTCGCCCGAAGGCAGGCCAAAGATGGCGCAAATCGCCACTTCGCAAGCAAGGTGCAAATTCCGAGAATGTGCAGAATTTCACGCAATGTGTTTTTGAATTTTGAATCATTTGAACTGAAGGACGCCCAACGGACCTGGATAAGAAACTTAGGGCAGCTTAGTTTCTTACTGCATGGGGGCCCAAACTGCATGCTTTCCCTGCCACCGTGATGACGATATTGGTACTTTACTATTTTGGCTCACGGTAAGAAAATCGCGGATAAATAAGGGTACCCTAGTTCGGGGCCCGCCGGTGACGTGGGAAAATTGAAGTGTACTAGGCCAAGCTAAGAAGGTAAGGGTACGCTACCCTGGGAAGATGAGCTTCTAATACAGGGTTTGCACTGTCAACCAACTGTGGCTGCAGCTGCTTTGGCTGCAGCTGCTTTCCCGCCATGTTACTTCCACTTGAGGGAGCATCCGTTCTTTCAAGCTCCTTGAGTTGTTACCCGCCTATCTTTACCCTCGTAGTCATTCGACGCCACTTCGCCCCAGTTGGTTGACCTTGCTGGAGGAGAAACTTGAATGAAGCTCTCATGGCAACAGGATGGCTCTGACTTCACTGCAAGCCACTTACAGCATGCAGGAGCTTTCCGTGCTGCTGCTATTTACTCATGGGCTTTAACCTCCTGAAATCGGCTCCAAATGCCCTAGCATTTTAGGATACATCGGCAATGACCACAAGTCAGTGATCAGCTCTGGATACCCGAGGCTGCTGCAGGACGGTTCCTGCACATGAGAGCATTGCTTGACCTACAATAGACGCTTGACACCTGTGAGTAGGGAGATTGACGTGATGCGGACATAAGCGAAGTTCTCCCAGTTTTTGGCACACTTATGCCAAAGAAGCTGCTGCTTGACTACCCATGTCAGTGAGTCATGCTCCTCCAGATGTCTGGAAGGACTTGTTCATCGCCCGCCGTGTGTCTTCGTCAGCTCGCTCGTAGATCTGCTGGAACAACTTGTTCAGAGCCTGGCTCTTCTCAAGTTCCAGCGCCATGATGAAAGCGAGATGCGCAACTTGACCAGAATCCCTCTCTGTAGAATCGCTCGACCATCATCCTACCTGCGGGCCTGGTCACCCTCTGGCTTCTCATTCTTAAGCTCTTCCTGGCAACCCATTTAACAATTCTGTGGATCTCACTGGGTCTCAAAGCAAAACTGGACGAAGAACAGAAACAGCAAAGCTCGGGCTGTTAGGTATCACTCCGCTGTGTCTCTGGGCATGCCCTGATTTCCAGCACATTGCAGCACCTTTTCTCAGCGGAATGAGCGCGTGTCTTTCAATCAACTTGCTCCAAGAAGCAGCTGGCGGCAGAATGGCAAAGCAACTCCGATTGGAGCATCTGGTCTGGTCGTCTGGCTTCGGCTTTGCGAGATGCAGTCCCGGCTCAGACCCACTATCGCAGTGCGTGTCCAATCTAGGATGCGGCTGCGCCACTTGACTTTCTTGGACTTGCTGACCAGCTCAAAGTGTCAAGCATCAGCTGCGGACAAGTGCGGGACCAAATACAATTGGCAAATGGCATCGAGTGGCCTTTCTGATCACACCAAAGCTCTATTACCTTGCGACCTTTTCGTACTCTGCAAAGACAGGAGGTGTGATCTCTTGCCCTGCAAACTACTTCACTGCTGGCCAGTCAGCGCCCGTGAGGGATACCAAATCCTAGCCATCACAGCTGCACGAACCGGCGCATATTAAGACACTAGCACAGGTCCTCCCAGAGCTTGGACCGCTTCCCATCATCCTGGACTGCATCGCGTCCAGCTTGCACTGACAAATACATACGGAGCACATTTCAACAGGTTTAGCAATCAGCGAGCACAAGAGCCCGGCACGCCGTTAAGGGCCCAGCGGAGATTTCACTCCCTCCAAGGCTCTGCCCGGATCTTTCTTGGTAAGAATCCTGGCTGGGCAGTTTTGCAAACGAGAGATGGCTCAATTCTCCTCTCGCTGCCCGCAGACACATATTATTACTGATTGGTGACGTCACCAACACTTTGACATCAAATATTTCCGCCGTCAAGCAGGTGAAACCCCGCCTCTGTGAGCATGCGAAAAGACTTCCTCGGAGATGTCCCATCTTTGATTTCAGGGTCACTTGCACTCGTTCGTTTGCGCTCGGCTTTCGCTGCCTCACTCTGATCCCTCAGGCGCTGCTGCCCAGGAGCGTGGCCGTCCGAACGGAGCTGCCGCCAGACCACCATCCGGCACGTAGCATCCTCTCATGCCCACACACAGCGCCCGATGTTGAAACATCGGGCCAGGAGAGTAACCTCCAAATAAATCTCACAAGCACATTTCCACAAGCCCTACAAGGTTCCAATATAAAGAACAAAAACACAATCTCACAAGAAAATGTGCAGGAGCACCCCACACTCTCAGAGGCTCCACGATTCACTCCTGTGTCTGAATCCTCGGTAAATTGACGCTTCTAAAAAGTTGGATGCCAAGACATCATCGGCAAAAAGCCGGGGTCAATAAGTAGTCAGGGTAGCAAGAAGTCATCGCACTAAGCATACAACTAGAAATCAACAGTTTGGCGTTTAGCTGACCGCTATGGGTAGCATGTGTCACTTCACAACCGCGCACTTAAAACCTTAAAAGTCAGGTCTCCTGCATGAGGCCACAAATGAGCAAAACTGTAAACTGCTACAGTAGTCAAACCTCTTGGCGGCTGCAGTCTCGCTCGCCATTCAAGAGGTCCAACCCCTCGGCACCTAATGACTTCCCTCACTCCCGAGACAATTAAGCAAGCGGTACAAGGCAGACGGAAGTTCTTTGTGTCCACCGTGCCAGGGTCCATGGTGTGGAAGCAGAGCCTGGCGGAGGAAACTGCGGTTATCGTTGCAGCATTAGCTGTGGTGGCGCTGGTGGTGGTAGCGTTGCCGTCTATGTCGTCATCACAGCTACTGTAGCGTTGTGGTTGTGGAATGTGGTAATAAGTAATACGTGATGGTGCTGGTGCGGGCGACAGTGGTGGTGGGGCTTGTGGATGGCTGGCTTCAGCGGCAACATGCGGCAACCACACGAAGCAGAAGAACCCTCGCACAGTACGGTAGAAAGACTCTAGTTTCGTCTCTTCGGACATCCAACTTTTCCAAAATGGGCACGACTTGCGTAACAGCAAGCTTTCTAAAGTAGTTAGCTTCAGGAAAGCCGACTTGGCAAAGTTCTTGCACCGTCCCACGTTATTGCCCAGGCCTGCCTGGGTGCATCTCCATAGCGTCGGTTCATTTCAACGATCATCATGGCATCACAGAGTTTGCCTTGCTTGAGCATGCAAGCCATGCGAGCGTAAAAGGCGAAAGCTACATGGAGCAAAGCTACTTCCATTGACAGGCGACGCTACCAGGTCATACCAGGTCAATCTGATCATCTGAATGCAAGGGCGGCTGACGATTTGTCCTTTCTGGCAGTCCTCGTCAGCTTCCTCTAAAAGTTGCACAATTTCAAGGTGCCCACCTTTGCAAGCTGTCTGCATAGCAGAAGTTCCTTTCCTTGTGGCTTGCTCCAGGTTAGCGTTGACATCAAGGAGCACCTTTACAGAGCTCAAGTTGCCTCGCGAGCATGCCATCCACAAAGGTGAGACCCCATGATCATCGCTCTTGTCCTTGTCAGCAGAAAGCTCTAGCAGTTTCTGTACCACCTTCACGCGATCTTTCCAGGTTTGGGCTTGGCTGGTTGAGATGATCAGTGGTGTCACACCGAATCGATTGGGCATATTCGCATCCGCACGGCCAGCAATCAAAGACTGCACGACATTGACCCAACCGGCACGTGAGGCAGCCCAAACTGGTGTGGCGCCTTTCTTGTTGGCTTGCTGGGGGTCTGCACTTTTTGCAATCAACAGCTCACAAATCTTGATCCAGCCCCTCCTGGACGCCGCCAGCAGAGGCGAAACGCACCTGTTATCAGGCTTGTCTATGTCAGCACGTGCATCAAGCAAGTGCTGCAGCAATGGCAATCCACCAACATCGCAAGCTTTGAAAAATGGAGTTGCCCCGCTGCGGTCAACAGCATTGACATCGGCGCGGAAAGAGAGTAGGGAACGAAGTCTCGGCTCAGCCCCATCCGAGGCAGCTATCCATAAGGGCGATTCCCCTCTGCCGTTCTGCAAGTTGATGTCTGCCTCGGTCTCAATCAGCAGCGAAATGATGTGAGCGGCCTGGGGACCACGTACAACTGACAGAGGGGGACTTAGCGGCGCCTTGACCGACCCAAAGGCGCCGTCACCCGCTCGATGTTTGACTACTGGTTCCGTGGTCTTGTGGACATCTGCTCTTGCAGCAATCAGACGCTGAACCATGTGCAAGTGGCCCCGCTGGCAAGCAGTCCAAAGGGGAGTGAGACCATCAATGTCTGCGAAATTCACATCTGCCATAGCTTCAAGTAGCAAAGCAGCGACTTCGCCACTGTTGTTCTGCGAAGCCAGGAACAATGGAGATCTCCTCAACTGAGCATTGCAACTATCGGGATGGCAGCTTTGAAGCAAGTCCTCCATGCCATCTGCATTGTTTCTTCTTGCAGCTGTGTCCAACAACTTTTGTTGAGCTTCTGAAGCTTCCTGTCCCGTGCTCACGATCAGGTCCAAGTGCCAGGGGCCAGCTGCCCGCGACAGCACATCGGCATCTGCGAGAATGCTGCCATTGCGGAGCAAGGTTTGCCGAACACGAGGCACCCGAAGTCTCCACTGCAGATGCGCTTTGAGCTCCTTTAGACGAGGCGAATTGCTCCCGTTGGACACCTGCTCAGCCTCCACTGACGCTGCCAACTCCCCAGATGTAAGCCACCTGACTTCAATCAACTGTGATTCCATTGCTGGCAGCTGTTCTCTCTGCTGGTAAGCCATCACACCAGGATTCTGCTCAAAGCTTTGTTTTACCGGTTGTTTGAGGGATTTTCATGCTTTGGCAGCTTGGAGCCATCGAAAGACCGGAATCGGACAAGTTTTCTGAACTAGTCTGGCTTCCTGACTTCAGCAGTTCCTATGGCAGAGGCTCTTGAAATCTGTTCCACAGTCCCACACAATTAAGTAGCGGTATCTCCCGCCAGGTACTTCAGGGTTTTGGGCGTGTATTATATGGCAGCCAACAATTGCGTATCTCAGCCAAATGACAGGCCCCGCAAGAAATCCCATAACCACCACATAACCCCAGGCTCCCATTTCATTTAACATTTGGTTCTCCAGTCTTGGGGTAATATCCCTCGGATAACCCCATATGGCTATGTCTTACCGGTACTGGGGAAATATCCTTAAACCCTAAGCCAACCATAAGGAGTGTTCACACCGAGCGACTCAGGGAGTAGGCCCTGTGACCGGACCAGCCGGACCTGGGGCAACAGGCGTTTTTTCTGCAGAACAGCATTGCCTCAGTCAAAGAATCCTTTTGATGCTTAGTCTGTTGGACTGCCGGCAGATCAAGATTCCAGGACTGGAGTTCGGTTTAGTGAGTTACTGGACGGGGCAAAGAGGCCTAACGCAAGGCATCATCAAACCAGCAGGTATCCAACTGTCAGGCAGCAGGTTGAAATTAAGAACAATCTGAAGGGTGTTAGCGCGGTAGGTATGTCTGCAGCAGTTACACCATAGTTCGGTTGACCCATATGCAAGGATACTGCAAAGGGGGGCCTGCATACGGAAATACGGTAAGAAACATTGCAAAGCCTGCCTCAGTCCCCGATGCCGAATTTTCATAATTTCATGAAAAGGGCGTCAAAATCCAAAGGAGCTGAGCCCTGAGTCAGAGTTTGGTAGGTTGCGAGCCACGTGTCCCAATGACGAGTCCCATAAGCTTGGTTAAGAGAGTACTGGTCCGACTGCTGACCGAGTTTTACAGCTACTGGCTATGCTGTCGTCCCTCATTCGCAGCATAATATGAACCTTGATGGCGCCACTCTCACAGCACGTACTGGACTAAGCCACATTGCTTTGGTTGTCTGGCAGAGCTGCAGATCATACATAGGGTGAGCACATCTAGATCATCTAGCCGGCATGGAGGCTAAAAGCATGGAGCTGATGGTAATTACGTGTCTGCGTGGCATTAATGTCATGCATGTTACTCACCAGGGGTTTTACTAGTGGGCTCGGCCATAGCCACTTGGAAGCTTAATCAATGCGATGGTGGCAAACATACTCTGATGCATTAACTTGAGAACCCGTTCCGAGGAAATACCATTCCCTCCAAGATAGTCATACGAGAGATGTTTGCGGAGGTGCTTACCCGCAGGTGTGTCTGAAGCGTGAATGGACTCCAGGCGCATTTGACTGTGCGTTCTTTGCAACAATTCCTGGCATGTGCTGACTTCACACTTATCTTGATTAACTGATTAACTTGAAGGCCTGCTCATCTGTTAATTAAGTAGGTCTGGTGCCGAAACATGTCCTGGAGTCCAGAAGCTCATATCAGGAGGATGTCATCAACAAACCTCGGTCAAAGATTTCCGAAATCAATACGGAAGCCCCTAGACCTCCAATCCAGATTTCTGCTCAAACCAAATGCCGGAAGGAATCGTTTCCTACATGTCCGCAGGTGTGTCAAACCCTGCTCCCTGGGGTCTGCGAAGAAGGCACGTGATTGAGCATGAGCTCTGAATTGTTGATCTGAAGTGGCATGATGCAAGCAAAATGTCAGACCAAAAGCCGACTCCAACCAGCTGTGACCGCAGTGTGACAAGTTGCTTCAGTTGCAGGTCGTTCAGGGCATCCCCGCTGCCCTTTGAAACGGAAGAAGTCACCTTGGAGCAAAGGCCAACGTAACAACAATGCAGCTGGGGATCCTTGCAGAGCTAGAGTGCAAGGAGGAGTGTCGACATGTATAAGATGTATATCATGAATACTTGATCAGCACGCCTACGACTTGCAAGCAGCACGAAGTCGCAAATTGGCTCCAAGTCACAATGATGCGGCCGGAGCCAGTAGCCTTGACTGTCCTTGATCACAACGGCTGTATACAGTACCATTGGACCATGTGCCACGGTACCACGGTACATTTCCCTGTGCTAGTAGCAGAAAATTGAGCATGACTTGTGCGCATAACTGACATACAGGCAAGCTTCTCCATAAGAAGCGATGTGAGCAAAAAAGGCGCCATGACCTGAGCTCCGATGCACAATTACCCCGCCTGCCAACACTGACTTAGCCAAGGCACGTTGACTGCGAGAGAATATTCATTGCCCTCTGCCGTCTCTACTCGCTTTCCGGTGTAGTCTCCGTCAAATGTGCCAGCGTTGTTCAGCAAGCCATGGATGCGGGGAAACCTTGGCTATGCAGTTGAGTTGCATTATTAGGGACCTCCATGCGCATGTAAGCGAATTCACCTTGGCAGAAATTTGCTTCACTGCCACAACCTGGACTTGTTGGCAACGCAACTTTCTGCTATTTCAAGCCCCTCCAATGCAGTCCCTGCGCGGCTACTGGAAGCAAATCCGGCAGCCGTAATGATCTTGGGCAACCAGCTAAGTCCCGTGAACCCTCCTGCCCTGCCCAGCCCAGGAAGGCGGCACAGCCACGGGTCAGGCTTGTAATATCTTGTACGTGCATGTGCGAGCGTCATTCAACACTCAACTTCAAGGACATTTCCTCACTACAGCTGGGGTTACGGTTAAATGTTGAAGCGAGCAGAAGGCAACATCTTCTCCCTCATCGTGAATAGAAGCTTTTCAGACACCTCCTCGCCCAACCGCCGCACTTCCGACATGAGGCTGAGGTCCGCCTGCACAGCTATGCTTGTATGGCAAACCTGGCCAGCCCCTATGATAGCTTTAGCCTAGCTATGAGGCGGCCACAACTCGCAGCCACTAGCCACAGAACCGGCGGCCACAAGCCCATAGCTTGAGCAACAGAGCTTGTTTACGCGAGCCCTCAGCAGCTGGCATGGGATATGCCAACAAGTCCCCTCGGATTAAAAGCCAATGTTCTGCGGATCCCCTTTTGCACCTGGACTCCGTGCAGCGTGGCGGTGGGCGCAAGGCGCTGTAATTCGGCGATGGTGGCCTGTACATCTGTTTCTTTTCCGCCCCCTCCAACTTACATGTGAGAGGTGTAGCCGTCAGGATTAAGTGCTGCCGCGAAAGTACTCGTCAACGTCGGTGTGGCATGTGCTTTGCGTTTCAAAGGCTCTTTTAATATCCCGGCATTGTACGACTTGGGAACATCCATTTATCAGTGTCAGGCAGTTTCTGATGCTTGCTGTGGGACGCCTCGATCTTGCGAGGATTTCGGCCATGTACTATGACCTCACATGGAAGCGGTGCGAAACAACTGCCAGGAAACTAATATCGCATCACGCCTATCAATAGTAATGCAAACTTACCCTGCGCGCCCGCCAAGCAGCTGTGGAACCCAGCTTCGCCAGCTGTTCCGCTGTGAACTTACCGATACCATCGGTAGCACCGGTCACCATGAAGATTCGTTCCTGCTCAACATCCCCAAGATCCCACCCACGCACAGCAATCGCTGAAGCTTAGAACTTCGAGTCCTGCAGCGGTGGTGTACTCTGGCCAGCCATGGCCAACCTTTATGGTGGGCCGGAGCATTAGCGGAACAAATGATAACATGACAACAACTCCATGCAGCAGCTATATGCTTCTGCAGAGCGTCGTGGGAGTGGACCACCAGCTTGCAGCGAGACCGGTTGCAGCTGCAGCTACAGTTGCCACCTGCATTGACCATTCAAGATCAGGCATGGCTCTTGCTGGAGGCCAAACAGAAAAATAATGTTGTTCCTCACTGCCCGATGCCTTTGTGCACCGCTTCAGCGGCATTGCAGCAGAATAGGAAGTGAGAACTGTTTTATATCATCCACACATGAGTGTCAAAAAGGACTGATGGAAACATCTGCCATCGTCTGCTACAGCAGCCACGTTGAAGCCAATCTTTTGTCAGCACCCGTGTGTTCAATGTCTTGCTTGCTGGCTCATGTAGTTATGGCAGCCTTTGGAGCCCTGTATGATCGTCAAGGTTGCGCAGGACCGTGCCCCCAATCTGCGCAGACCACAGCTGCACGCTTCTTTTTGACCCAGGGCCCCGTCAACTCTGGGTCAAACCTTGTCGCAGTCCTATCAGCATGCTTCAGATTTCAGATCTAAGACGAAATGATTTCCGAAATGATTGCCTTAACCTTCAACAAAGTTAACCGCTTCTTCGCAAACTACAAGTTGCCTGAAGACCCGACTGCTGCAACAGAATTGTAACAGACTGCTCCCATCTGTTCTCCAAATATGTCTCCAGCTTTCCACTGAAGTGAAAGTCTGACTTCGACCGCAGGAGGAGGTATCCTCCCCGGCACGGTGGAATGTGGCGAAGCACGCACAAGGCCGCAAGGTGCTCAGAAGGGTCACTGGATTGCAACGTTGAACCATGAGGGTGCATAGGACAACACATCCCCGCCCGTGGACTTACTACTAGTATGTGGCTCCGGCCGTGATCCAAACACTTCTCATCCTCACTTGATGTCTTGTTCGCGCGTTGGCCACGGATGCTTCAAGGTTGTTGTCTCGGCGTCGGTGTAGACGTTGTAGACGCTTGCTTCGTGGGGTGCACACCCAAACTCAATTCTGTCAACACTACCACGCTTACATGCCTGTCTTCACAACTGTCACATGACAGCAAAGTAAGCCTACAGTGTTCAGATGACCTCTCGAGAACAACCTCTGTCAGCAAACCCAGCTCCCTCACCGGACGCTGGATCTGCTAATTTCCCCTGCCTTCGGGCAGCCCTGGTGCCTCTGCAGCCAATCTCAGCTTAGCTGGGTTTGGCAGGTGATCAAAGACCCCGCAATTCGCAATGCATCACTCAAGCGGCCTCTCCAGCATCCTGCCAAGCTTCATGAGACCATCCGCTTTGGCAGCAGCATTGCCTGGGCGTGACTACAATGCAGTCAAGAGTAAATACACCGAGTCTGCGCGACAATCGGGACTTTTGCCTGGAAGGCCGGGTGGCAATGGCTCCGTGTCTGGGCTGTGCCATGCAGGATGCCTATGCTCTTGTGGAGAGATGTGGTCAGCCCCGCTCAAAATCCACAAGCTCACAAGCAGCCGCAAAGGCGTCACAAAAAGTGTGACCTACTATAGGTCCTGTACTGTAGGGAGGGCAGGCGCAGTAGGAGAAGCTCGTTCATGCCTCAACTATACAGGAGGTCTGCGCGAAATGACAAGCCAATCCTCTGTGACTGGACAAGTCAGCTGAAAAATGAACACATAAGGACAAGTGGCTTGGCCACTCATCGCACCACACAAAACATCGGCACGGCATAGCACTCCATATTCCCTGCACACATCTGGCAAAGCCTGAACCACTGCTCAGAGATTCACAGTTTCACAGTGAGATTTTGGGCTTGGCGTCCAATCCTGCAGGGTCAATGGCTGCCACATTGGCTTCGAAGTCCACAAACTCCTTCTCTGTCCAGTTTGGCTCGATATCAGCGACATGGCCGCTCACTGGGCAGGCTCCGCTCAGAAGACTCGACAACGACTGAATATCCTGCGCATCCGCAAAGTGCCTCTGCAGATACGGACATGAAGCAGGCGACTGCTTCTGCCGATCTCCGCAGCAGATCTGCGTCTCTGCCATTGATTGGGGCAAGACGGGCCTGAACATGCGGCTCAGTCATCTGGCAAGGTGCGCTCCGGGTAGGCCTGTGACAGTGGTCGATCCCATGGACAGTGGATGTAGTACCTCAGACATCTCACTCATCTGCGACATTGCTTTCACATATGCGCGGGGAGGCACGGTCCGGAATGAAAAGCCCGAGAAGTCACAAACAACCTCATACTTCATGATGCGACCCATCTCGCGCGAAGTCCTGTCGACCCAGCACCACAGTCTCCGTGCCGTGTGCAGGCTGTAGTTGACGATGTCTTCTGCGCTTGTTGACTTTAGCAGTTGTTTGAAGTCCGTCTGCGCAACAGGGACAAGGAAGAGCATCCTGTCACCTGACGACCATAGGTGGAACTTCGAGTAAGGCTCGATTTTCTGAGTGCCAGGGCAGGGGTGGCCGGAGTCAGCGGCGTTCAGAATCTCTGCCTTGGTCTTCTTCAGCTGCTGAGCCGCAAGGATTGCAGCGCAAGTGTTTTTGACGCTGCCTGCCAAAGCCGTAAAGGTAGCGAACAAGAGCAATATCGTCCAGCATGGGCGCATGGCCCCTGGAAGCGGCTTTGAGTTCCCCTTTCAGCTCTGCCAGGTCAGCAGAACGCTCAGCAAGCAACTCTGAGAAGGGGCGATTCAAGAATGTTGAGCCCGTCTTCGTGACGGGCTTTGGCAACACGAAGGAATCAGCTGCTGCCATTGCTTGGACTTCTTCGAAACACTTTCCAAAGCTACTGGGCCTTGTGCCGTTGCCTGCATACCGCATACATCAATAACCCATCATGCCAAAAATGCCGGAGTTGACATGCTATCGCCATCTGTTTACCGAGCCGCGCTGCTCAGGGGTGTCTCCATTCTGACCAGCAGTTTTCGCAGTAGACTTGCCCGCGGAAAAGGCCCGTACCGAGGCGGCCTGCAGAGCACATTCAGCGCGTCGATGGTGCGCAAGGGCATATGACATGCCCCAAGAGGAACTGCTTTTGCGACAGTAAACGCCCACCCTCTTGTGGCCTCTCCAGCTCCCTTCAAACCCTAAAGTAATCAAACCGTATACTGCAAAGTAAACGGAGCTGCGGCTGCACCCTGCACTAGTTCAGGTTCAGATGCTTCTCGATAAGGCTTCTTTTTGATTGGGCGCTCATGCTTCCGTGAAGACTCACGCAAAGAGTCTTGCTCAAAAATGAGGCGACAAAAAAAAAGCTTGGAACAGCTTGGTATGGGACATGTCTTGCCCCAAATGCCCCAGAATCACAGTCAGAATATGCCATCAAGAAATGAGCGCACAGACCATAGAAATCAACATAGATTGACCAGGCAGAACCCTCAATCCAATCGCTCCCGACCTGCGAGCACAAGCTGGATGCAAGTGGAGAAGACAGGCTGAATGTGGGCGGCTAGCTTAGCGGCTGAATCTTGCTGTTCGATGTGCTTCCCGTGAGTGTCTTCCCCTGGCTCGCAAAGCGCTGCACCTTCTCCTGCTGGCACATTCGCTGAACACTGATTGCAGACAGCGTCGGAATCGTTTCGACGCTTGGAGGAATGAACTCCCTTAGAGCAAGCGAGGCGAAGCATGGAGCTTAGCTCGGGGGACCTTCGCTATCATGTCCAACCGAATGTGCAGACTTGGAACGTGTGGACGATCTCTGGACGAGGATGAATAGCCCTCTGAGTCCAAGCCATGGATCCTGTTTGCCGATCTTCTGAGGAAGGCAGGTTCTAGCTAGCGTCTTGCCACACCAGCATTGTAAACCCTAATGCGGCTGCATTGCGACTCGTACCGCACCTGCTACCCCTCGGTTCACAGACTTGATTACTAACAGAGAGGGTTGGGACTTCGTCTCTTTTGCCATGGAACTGCACTCGTGTTTGCTGCATTTGCTCATCGGTACTGCCGCTGCCAAAGGCCACCACTCTCTCGGCCTCGGAAAATTCACCAAATTTGTGTCCAGTCCATAGATCATGCCCGTGGCGCTTCAGTCCGAGAGACATCCATGGCACCGGGCCAGCCTGGCATCATTGAAGCCATGTCGCCCCACACTCCTTCCGGACAGATACAACTATATGACAAAAAGTCTCCAGTTGTCGTTCAACGGCTGTAGGCTGGACGAGCTGCCTCCAGGCATCCGCGTCCGCATTGGATCCGGAGGACGTGAGGGCATGGAACGGAAAAGCTGTGGGGCCATCTGGCCCGGATGGAAAATGGGCCTCTGAGCACTGCACTGGCAGAGCGAGCGCTGCATCTAGCCCTGAAAATAGCATAGCTAGCCCTTTGAAGCTGTTTTTCGGTTCTAAGCTGCCGCCACGATTCTGTCCATACTGACTCTGCATTGACCTGCAAATAGTTTTCTGCCACATTCTTGGAATGCTCTGCTCAATAGTATGCAGCACTTCTGTCGCATGAAGAGCTCACACTCTGACAGCCCAGGTCACATCGACCGCGTCAAATTTGGCTCGGCTTGAAGGTTTGGGGGGGCCGGGTGAGGGGCGAGGGGGGGGGGGGAGGCGGTTTACTACGTTCGCTTCAGCCACAGCCATCTTTACCCGTAAAACGCAATATTTTGGCAACTATCATGCAAAAACATCGCATTCATGTTCCAGAACGTCCGACTACGAAAGCATGCATGTCCAAACCAGAACGATGTTCATATTCGACAGTATCCCATTACCATGACATCCATGTATTTAATAACGTTCATGTTCGAGAGCATCCCATTACCAGACCATCCATGCCCAAGCCATAATAACGTTCGTATTACGGGTGCATCCAAGTACCAGAAGCACTGCGCACAGTGGGACGAGGTCCATGTCTGTCCTTTCCGGGAAGCCTGATGCAGAAAAACTGCGCGTGTTAGTCAAACCTGTTGCTTGCAAGCCAATTCAGCCCTTGGCTAGCTGGGTTCGCTACTAGCAGCTTACTAGCAAGGTCCTCAGCCCGGAAGTGGGCTCATACTGCTGCCCTTGCCCCCACCCAAAAAACCAAACCTAACCGGCCACAAAAGCCACACTTTCTACCCCCTGTCGCCTTATGCCAAATGCAGGATAGCATGCAGTTGGCCACGCTTACTGGCAAGGAAATTAAGCAACCTAGACTCCACTTGGTTCCTCTTTTGGCTCGGGTAAGCCGCAGGTGGAACACAAAGACACCAAGTCTGGGCTCTACTAAGTTGCTTCGCTGCTGGTCAAAAGTTCCTCAAAAGGAAGATGCAACTCAGCAAGCTTACCCATTAAGGGCTTGGGAGGCACCCCGGCAGCCCAGAACAGAGAACGATTAGCTGCTGCCCGTGGCGCTGGCCCAAACACCGCCAGCTCTACCACAGGTGCCTGTGTTAATGAAAGCCATACCGCACGAAAAACAAAATAAATAGCAGATTGAGGTTGCCTGCGCCTCACACGGAAGAATGCTGTCCAACTCACCACAGTGACAATGGCAGGGTATTTGCTTCTTGTTCCTTTACGCGGATGCACCAGTTCCAGCTAGGGTAAACCCAGGCTGGCTTGGTTAGTCGTGCTTTCCATGCGAGCACACTTCCCAGAAGTGGTTCAGCCAATAACCAACAGGACCCCACCCAAGCTCACAGAGGCTTTGATCCCCACTACCCGTAAGCGCGAAGGTAGAGATTCTCCGGGAGTGCTGTGTCGGGCAACAGTTGCAGAAAGCAGTGCGTTTCGCATGAGATTCTGCATGCGCGGACTTTCCATTGTAGTAACCTACCGTGCATGACTGCGCGGGGTTTTGCCAGAAAATTCCGCGCGCAATTTCCGCGCGCTACTTTGATTCTCAGATGAGGTTGTTGCAGATTTCTGCGGTCAAACTGTGCAACAACGGTTTTTGCATGGCGCATCTCATGTCCGCTATGGCCATGTCGCACACGCACTTCGTGCGATCGTGCATGGCGAATGTGATGGCTTTAGGTCAAAGATTGTATCGGGTTTAGGATGGTCTCCAAAGGCAAGGCCATCTTTTGGTGAATCAGCCGTCCCATTGGAGAAGGCGCCTGGTTTGGAGGAGGGTTGAGATCTCAGGGAGGTGGTGCGGCAAGCCACCACTGGGGTTCGCTGTTTGGTTGTCATCTGCAGGTAACAAGGGATTGCCGCTTTGCTATCTCAGGGACCCTTTACGGGCCCTCAGGGATGCTGTACTGGTCTGTCGGCCCTTGGCGGTGTCCTGGGCTGCCTGTCTTCGGTGCTTACTGTAATGACTGCAGTGTGCAGGGCGTTGCTTTCTTAGGTGTGGTGTCGTTGCAAGCATTGCAAGGTGTTTTTTTCCCAGCGCCAGCACCAAGTTGAGTCGAGGAGAGGCGTGGTCCCCGCGCTTTGTTGAGGGGAGGACGTGGGCCTCGTGCCAAAATACAAGTCGAGGGTGATGCTGTTTGGCAAGGGCGGCGCTTGCGGTGCAGACCCCCGGATTGACCCAGCGAGCTGTCTTGACTCAAGCGGGGGCGGGGCTGACTGAGCCAGCCCGCACATTTGGCCAGTTGTGGTGTTGTGGGATGTTGTGTGTTTCCCGGGTTGGTCATGGTTGTGAGGTTGCAGATTGCATAAGGTTGAGAACCATGGACCCATCCCCATCCCTGGTGCTTCTCAACCAGGGACAGTAGCAAAAGGCACCCACCTTGAAGTGCGTTCGGCGCAGAGCCAGACTGCCCAAAGTAGTGGTGGCCCAGAGAATTTACCCAAGCCCTGCGCTGTGGGATTTCCTCTGCCCAGGACTGAAGGAAGTAGCAGCGGGGTGGTCAGCACAGCGCTGCTCTGACCTTTTTACAATGAGGGGAAAGGTGGGAGTGCTTAGCCAGTGCTGTCACGGCATAGCTACTCTGGCCCTGGTTATCACCTGTACAGGGTGAGATAGCTTATGTTTCACCTGACTGGACTTAACCACCTGGCAGTGAAAGCTGACCAATGGGATTTGAATCCAAGTGGCATCATCTGCGGACATGGCGTTTCAAAGAGCATGGACGGATTCCTCGGCTGCGGAAGTTTCATGGCAACGGTCCAAGCGAGCATAATTTGAAAATGTCTTCAGACTTTCTTCTACTTAGTAACATAGGAAAGGATGCACTTGCTCTAGCTACCTATGCGGACCACGCATGACCACGCGGCATCCCTTGCCGGTTCGTACTACCACCACCACCACCGCCGCCGCCGCCGCCGCCGCCTCCGCCTCCACCGCCGGCTCATGATTACTCTTCAGGGACCGCAGCCGTGGGGCAGGTAGCATCCCCAAGCAGTGCGGGCACCCAGGATCTCTGCCACTGGCGCCATCCACACGCTGAAGACCTCGTCAGATATCTGTGCTTAATATCTGCCATTCAGCTCTCCAGCATGTCGACAAAAAGGGCCCTGATAAGAACTAGCTCCAAAAAAAGCCCCGACATGTCAATGTGAAATGCCCCTCAGTGGTACGGTCGATGCTTGGGTTTTACGTCTAGGTAGGTGGTGTCACAGCTGTTGCTGAGGGCGTTGTGCGCCGAGAGTGGCAGCCAAGTGACATAGCTGTGACATGAAAGGTACCCGACTACGCGCATATAATTGCGCAAGACGAAGTTGCATATTCAGCCCTACGCCGCAAAGAGTCTCAAGTGGCATCTCAAATACTATCAAACATCAGGCTGCCATCCACAAGAGCATGCAAGGCACAGCAGGCCCAAATTTTGCTGCGTGCCTCTAGGTTCAAAGCAAGGTTCTGCGCGAAAGGGAAGGCGAGAGTGATGTAGTTGCCTAGGAATCAGATCAGGTTGGCAATCTGCTTTTCTAGAGCTGAGCACCCATGCACGAATCGGTGTCCTGTCCAGCTAGAAGGTCGACACTTCAGCCCCAGTGGCCTTGCAGCAACCTTTGGAGAAAGTCCAAAGCATCAAGGCCGCCTGCGCAGCCGCTCAGCGCGACATAGCACGTCAGCTCCTAAGCTTCGATGCTTCAGTTATTTGGACGAACCATCCATCATCCAACAACTATCCTCCCGACTCCTTCCCTCGAAGCTCACACACAGATGAAAGTCTACCATGTCACCGGACAGGAAGCTGAGACTTGGAGCGAACACCGGGCATTGTTTCCCACCACGAAGATGATAAGGCCTAGCAGCGCAGATGCTGGAAAAAAGGGCTATCCAGAATTGATGCCCCACAAAATGCCATCTGATCCGCAGTAAGTAACATCTTGAAATCTCAATCGAAGTAGGCATAGGCCGATCCGATGATTCAAATTCAACCCTCGCGGCAGAAGAGGGCTGCAAGAACTAATCGAGTCCATGGCCAATACCGCAAGCGCCCCAGTGTCCAGTCAGTAGACCTTGCCCGGATGCTTTCAGGCTGACAACTCGTAGACTTCAGGACTCGCTGGATGTGTTACAGGTAGCATGGGAAACAGTCAAAAGCAGAACGCAAATACAGCTGAGCTGCGGCAAAAAAAGACCGAAAGCTGTCCCATCAGAGCGAGCGACAAGTTCTCCCGCCTGCGACGATCTGCGTCAGAAAAATGCATACCTACATTTATTGGGTTCTCAAACTGAGACAGCTTGGTACGCTGAACAAAGGGTTGTTTGCAGACCTTTGCAATTTGGGGAGCCTAGGCTTTACAGATTTTGTCTAATATCAAACTTTGATTGGACTTTCTGGCTTCAGAGATGCACAATCCTGTTCGGAGTTTTGGAAATACTGGAGTACGCAATGAGTTCTGTAGCATTCTGTCTTCTTGGAAAAACCTGCGAAAAGACTATATGCAAGCAAGCAAACCATCTGAATGCACTGTGTATTCTGCACCTTTGCATCCTGAACACAAGCAGAAAAAACAGGACAAGTTCAATCTGCACAAAATCAGCCATCCAAATTTCAAGCCGGAACCAAAAAAAAATGCATAATCAACCTGCAACCCACGCCCCCCACCCACCCAATTTGCAGAAAGCTGGGAAGATTATTGTTTTGGATCAGGGCCTCTGTCCCAGTGAGAGTCCAACAAGACTACATCAGGCTTGCATGACATGCTTTGCTCTTCAGCCCTGCTACAACAACGGAAACTGGTCTTGCAACCGCTTTGCAAGCAGTGCCTCTCTTCCAGGCTTGCAACAGTCCTAACACACATGTCTTGTGCAACTTGTGGTACAAGCTCACGGCCAAGGACATGGGTGCACAGCACTCGTGCTGAAAAGGCATAGCTTCTCTCGAATATAAAACGAAAGGTTTGGCTATCTTACATGACAGGCATGACTCACTCGCGATGCTGACCCGAAATATGCGCTTAAGAGAGACAACATCCGAATTGCTGCCAGGCTCGTCGGGTGATACTGCGGCACTAGGGCATCCCAGATCACCTCAGTCAGCCAAAATACGATCAGGAATCCTGACGGGGCATGCAAATGAAATCAAGGGCCATCATTTGCACAAGGGCAGTAGGTACTTCAAGTACGGGCAGCGAAGAGTTTACATGTTGCCGTGGACATTCTGCGTTCCTCTCAGCGCTAGACCTGTAATCTTTTCAAGGCACGACCCTTAGACCCACCTTTGACAACACCACGGCCAGCCCAGAATCCCGACCAATCGAGTCACCCGGCTGCTGCTTACTTCACTGCCTCCTCCGCCTGCGCAACGAGCAGTGCCTTGCACCACATACCTCATCGAGCTTGCGTAACGAGTTGGGGCGTTCATGAAATGGGATCCGGTCGAGCTAGCTTGTTCGCCTGCACTCCCATGTGCTGTTTTTCCGTGGGAGCCCAGGCTTCACAGGGAACCCATAGAACGTATAGAACTCACAGGCATCGTATTGAGTCCAGCAGGTTGACTGCACAAAAGAAGTCATGGAGTGCACTTGGATAACATGGTTTCATTAGGAACTCTACATGTATCACTCATCACTCTGCTGAAACGACACCGTCCCTACACCACAATACGAAGGTGCATAATTGATTTTGTGCACCTGCATTTTCGCACTTGGAAACTTAGAACTGCTCCGGGCATATCCAGGTGAGAAGCTGCGCCCATTCCGCCAGTGACTGTAGCAGAGAAAGCGGCTGAGAACAGACTCGCGCCATGGGAAATGGTCTCTCATACAAGGCCAATGACAGCGCAGTATCTTCAGCTATGGCATGGCAGTGAGGAAGTTCCTTCTGGGGACATACTTTGCAAACACATTGGCATGCTCTCGCATAATAGGGTTCCTTGGGCCGATCGCCTCGGCTTTCCAGAAGCAGCTGGTGGGAGGTGTGAGGCACAACGTTTCAATCTTATAGGTAGATTACTCTGCTGCCCACGCTCTGTGTCATGAGCTATGATACTTCCAACACGATCAATGACGGCAGCAATGACGGCAGCTGGCAAACAGCAGTGTTTGTGTCCAACTGGCCTGTCTCCGCCCATCCAACCAGAAAAGCTTGAGGCAAAACAGTTTAACGCTAGCAAGGCTCTGCACGCTGCACCTCGATCTCGCGATCGATTTGACTCCAATCTCGCTTTTGCTTTGAGGAGGTGGGATAAGCTGGCCTAAGACGAGTGTGGCACATGCACACCCGCAGTTTGAGCACATCATCAGTGCGAAGCACTGTCTCCCCTTGAGCAGTAGCTAGACCTTAGGATGCTGAGGGCGCAACTGATCAGGCGGTATTTCTAGCAGCACCTCCTCTTTCCTGTCGAGCTGTGTGCAAATGCATCCGCAAACAGCTTCTGTTTCAACGCAGCTACACCAACTACTTGAAGACGAGGCCTGCTTTTGAAGCCTATGGGGGCACTTCGTGAACCAGCTAAGCAGCGGCAGGAACTGGTAACCCGTAAACGTGTGCTGCCTCTCCAAATCTTTCCAATGGAGGCTGACGTTCTTCTTTTGAAGCGTAACCTCGCATCAACTGTCCTTCACATGATGTAAAACACCTAAAACGTAAACAGGGAAGTCGCCCCCTCCCCCTCCGCCGCCCCCTCCCCACATACGAACACGCCCATACAAATACATGTACACGCATACATACACGTTACAGACGTATACACGTGCACACACACACACACATGCAAACATCCCGGAGGATGTAGTAGGTAGGTTGCTCAGCGGATTCTCTTGCAGCTTCATTTTCTTCCTTAGCAGGTACGTTTTCAGCTCTTGTCATTGGCCTCGTTGTTGGCCATCCACCAATTACAACAGGGATGGCCCCCTGCTTTGAATTGAAAAACTTGCAGTTGCTGCACCTACATGCCCTTGGTAAACAGGGCTGGGGTCAAGTTGACCAGAAAATACTTGTGAATCAGATCGACCGTGGTTCATCGCACTAGGACCTGCATTATCTTATTGGAGATGCGAGCGAATTTTCTGCAAATCGGCTTCAGCATGGATCATTAGACATAGATCTGATCTCTGAAGCATGATTCAAATTTACCAGCAGGTACGTAGGAGTGGCGTCCCACTCCTATATCACGGGTCAGGATGGGAGTCTTCATTGGCACCTGCCCCATTCCTTCCCCCAGGTGCCTCCTGCGGAGAAAGATAAGAAAAACCACCGGAAAACAAGTGCACATGTAGAGATACTGAACGTGTGAGGTGTTCATAACCCTTGGTCACAGGGCATCCAGCACACACAAACACACACAGACACGCACACACACACACACACATGTGAACATGTACATTGACACTTGCATATACGAATGTGTACAAGGCACATGTTCCACGGTGTAGACATGAGCCGATGAATCACTGTCAACTTAAGTCATGTGACCCGCGCTGGTTGTGCAAAACGCCACATGCATTACCGACTTTGTTGAGGATGCTGTTGCAAGAGCCCAGCCTCGACTTTTACCTTGGAAACCTGCACATGCAGGCGAAGCAGGAGCGCGACTACGCTATTAAGAAGGGTGCAAAAAGATCTTGTTCCAGCAAAGCAAAACAAGGCGTCATTTGATGTCAGCGTCGTCAACTTGGCCTTGCGAATTGCCCTTCAGATATCTCCAGCTGCCTTTGAGCTGGACTCCAAAGCTTTACCCCGGAAAGGATAGACTTGAGGCCTCCATCTTGCAGCCGGCTGGGTCGACTGAGTCAAAGAGGTCCTCAGCCAGATTGTTGGCTGTCGCCTCCCCTAACAAATGCCTTCAACTGGCAAACCAGTTCTAGACTCCCCCTCCTAATGCCCAACCTGCCCAGCCCAAAAACTTGCCTGAAGGACCATTTGTTTTCTGCTGAGTGCTGTGCGTCGGCACGTATCAGCTTCACTTCCCAGAAGGATACAGACATTTCGTGACTGAGGGCAGCACCAAGTTCAGCTGGTATTCCTCGCTCGCAGACCTCGTGAAGATCCCCCACTTGCGTCCTTGTAAATGTGCACGAGCTCTGGGTGCGAGCATCACTTGGCCAAGGAGAATGTGCACAGTGTGCTGTGTGTAGGCTGGTGCCATCACAAGTTTCCAAACAAGCGGCCCAGGCAATGGGAAGACCACCGAGATCTCCTGGCAGGGACACATGTTTGCCTGCTTTCGGCTCGAAACAGTCAGTCCTGTGCGTGTTGCTGTAGGACAGGCACTTCAGCTTTTCAAATGTACTTTGACACGGTTTATGTCGGAACTCTGCACACTCACCCAGAGAGCCTTCTCCTGGAAGTCGATCCGGCAGGACTCCTGTCAAACAATTCGCGAAGGAGAGGGCTGACGATGCTTCCACCACCTGCCACGCATTCCAGGAGTCCTGATCCACGCCCTTGGCGAAGAGGGTTATGAACACATGTGTGTTGCTTTGGTACCTGGCGTCCCCAACAAGAAGCTGCAAAGTGTAGCTGCCGCATAGCAAAGCTTGACCTAACGGAGCCCTTGCATGTGATTGCGCTGTACGCGCCCTTCAGGTCACACATCTGCGGCCCGCACCAGCGGCACATCGCCAGCAGCGGAGTTAGATAAGACCACAAGCACATCAAGGCTACCAATGCGGTCAGCAGAAGGGAGCACCATTCCCGCTTCACAGGCTTCCTTCCTGCAGTGGTAATCATACTTCCTCTGTGCAAGCAATCCATGCTGTAGACAACTAGTTGCGGTCACAAGTCTCATGTTCAGTGCATCCTTTTCATTATTGCGTAGCCAAACATCCAGTTCCTGTGCAGAAACACCTGGCAATTCTTTGACCGTCTAGACATGCGAATTCAGCTGACATCTGCGGCGTCTTAGCCCAAGACCCGAGATCGACAGCGGAGCTGATGGGTCCTGCGCCTAACAGCACGTGCATGCATTCCGTGCCAGGGTGGCAGACCCCACCTGTTTACACTGTGTATACGTTAGTAATTCTGTGGTGCCAGTAAAAAGGAAGAATCGAATTCATTACCGAAGCCTGGCTGATGCTGCCATGTCTGAGAGTCTCCCGAAAGGCTATCTTTTCTTGCTTGGCCATGCCAGCAGTCACGTAGATTCAAGCAGTTCCCATACCCCATGATGGCTGACAATCACCATCCCACACAAGCTTGTACTCTACAATCAGCATGGGTCCAAACCCTATTTGAGACAGGGCTGATTTACCAGCACTCAGTTCCACCACGCCACCAAATCCTTTAGTTTGACTTCGGCCTGAGATATGCAGCAAAACCGCTTCATGCATCCATTTGCTTTCAAGTGCTGCCTTCAAGGGTGCTTCTGAAGTAGTTCTGTTCTGCTTGGACCTGAGTTGATGCTTTGAAGGTGAAAGGTACGCCAGCCTCCACAGGTCCGGCTTCGGCCTTCGCGGCTGGCCTGGGCGACCGTAAGCGTACCGGAGCCCTCCTAGACGGACTCGGCACGGAGCCTCTCCTCCCACGCATACCTAGCAATCCCTCCTGGATGCACAAGGATGCTCACGGTTACGTCCCCTGATGTGTCGTGACCGGTTCGAATTCATTGTTTTTTCTGACCGCAATGCCACGCATTGGCTTGTAGGATTCAAGCATGAATGAGATGGTTATGGCATGCTTGCAGCTATGCGGTCCCTCTCCTCTGGCTTTTTTCAGAAAGTAGAGCGTTCTACCCTTCTACTATGTGGCAGAGCATATGAGGCTCCCGATTTTGGGATACAGCTAAGTTGGCAACATTGCTCTGAACAGCCGGCTAGCACTAGGGCGTGGAAAAGAAATTGCTTTCCCGCACTTCCCCGGCAGCTTCCCTAAGCTGCAAGTACATGGAATATGGTCCACCCCTCTGGAAGTCCAGACAGATTTGGAAATATTGCTTGGGCTGACTCATTGGGATGCAACATTCAGTGATGCAGCACTCAGCCTGTGACTCCGGTGCGGGTGCAGCTGGCGCCTAGGCTCTCAAATGACACACAGCCACTCAGCGTGGTTGGTCGCCATTACAATCTCATCACTGCAAGTCACGTTGGCGTCTGAAGCTGCATGGCTTTCTCTGAAAACGGTTCAGTGCCATATGCGCGGTCCTGCCTGCTCCGTTGTGATGACCTTCCTGGAACACTTATTGCAGAAAGCATTGGTGCAGTGATCATCGTCAGGGATGCCTGCACTGAAGCTGAACACGATCCCATGCATCTGCTCATCTTCGCGGCCGTGCTCTAGCGGCAGTAATGATATCCGAGTATATCCGAGGGGGCCGGATGCTGTTGCGGCCATGTTGCAGATGATGCTGCGGGTGTAGGCGCATCCTTTGATGCCTGCGGCGCAAAACAGACACATGCACTCTGCACCCACGCGTGGGCCCACTTGCTCGTGCTAGCCAGTTCTCAGAAGCACTTCTTCAGAGCAACATTCACCAGCATAAGCTTCCAAATTTCAGCTGACAGAGCCCGGAAAATGGAGGCATTGCCCCCCTGAACTCCACTGACAAAGGCTCCAGGAGCGTCCAAGGAAGCATGGCGGAGGTCACCGTTTTACTTCGCTTCGCGCAAGAGTTGGCTCGGAGTCTGACATTGTTCGTCGGCACAGAAGAGAACTACGCCTCGTGGATGCTATGTGGAGTTCCGTAACACACTGGCGCCCCTTCTGCACAGGTCCAAAAACTGCAGGGCTCACAGCTGTTGCTTGAGTGCTCAAGGCAATCTGCGCCGAATACGGGTTCCCCCCAAGAATGACGGGCGTCGCCCCTGCAACAACAACTAGTAAGAAAACATTCGTTCCCCATGCATATATGCATCGTCTTCAACGTGCTGTGAGCGGTTTGAAAAAGCACTGCCAGGGATGTCTATACTCTGGCATCGGCTTCTGTGAGGTGCGTCTGAGGCATGCAACTATTCAAGCTCGTGTTTTACCCGGGCTCCGAGATCAGAGCGAGCTGGATTAATACAAATAGCCCAATTTGAAAACATGCAGGCCGGGGAAAGCATGACAGCTTGTGGAATTCTGGGCTGTGCAGTCTCCCAAAGATTCCTTCCTATGTCAGGAACCTTCATGCATCTAGAATCTACAGACAGACGAGAACACTACTGAGCACGTGGTGCAAGCATGAGCAAAAGACTCATAGAATCAGATGATCAGAGGAATCCTTGGTCCTCTAGCCGATTCGGCCAGAGGTTGCCGCAGTGGGAACCACCCCGGGGCTGCTGCTTAGTGTGGATGCCGCGCACTACAAGCCTGACCTTCCCAGTCAATCTCAGGCTTCAAGTTGAGGGATTTGACCCTGAAGGTCAGTCTGGTGGCGGGCTCCCAAGGCTCAGGGAGGTTCGGCAAGAAAGTTGAAATCCAGGACGGGAAGCCGCCCACAGCTAAAAATGGAGAACTTCAAGTGGGCGCAGCTAAATGCAAAGGTCCTTGGTTAGTTTGCTCTACAGTCTCAAACAGGAGATCCAACTCATGTTCCGACTGCATCTGGATTGCCCTGTATATGGCTTGGACCCCCTGACACTAAGGGCTGTGCCATCTCGGAACACAACATCTACAGCTACATGTCTAAATGTTTCCTTTGGCATAGATGCAAAACAACGCAAACACCTCTAACGTCCCCTTGCCTGACCAGTCGCATCTGCTTTGTCGACTGGTGCGTATAATTCAGGATCATTCCTGAGACAGTCGGTGGTCAAGCTACTGGCTACAGCACTATGAGCTGAGCCTGGCAAACATGAAAGTAAAATCCCGTGATATCCGCCATTAAGCATTTGCGCTCTGACCACGCCTAGGCCCACAATTTGCAAGCTGGCAGGGATGAAGGATGGAATGAAGCTGGTCCAAGACACTCAAGAGTGAAACTACGGTCTGCATCAACATCTGTACCAACCTGCAGCGAGACGGAATGGTACGACACCCGTCGTCCGAGACAAGATACAGCGCAGGATGCTGCCAAACTGGGATTGCAGCCTACACCCAAAACCTACTACTTTTGCTTCAGGAGAAATTCGAGGACGGCCATACAATGTCAGCAACATCTGCTCACGCGCGCAAATGCACAACACCTACATGTGGCGCGCCTCCGGAATGTCAACTGCCGGACAGAAAGGGCTCGGCCATTTGCGCGCATAAAGCGCCTTCCAATCAAATTTCCACAGCCTGGCAGGGGATGCGGAGGCGTTCACTGTTGAAAGGTGCCGTGGTACCAGCCCTCTGCGCCTGAACATGTCATGCTCACGTACTGCCCGAGCTCCACCATTGCATCCAAGTCTATCCGGATCGCGTCGGAGTAAGTCCTGCCATTCAGCGCAAACCAGAGGATCCTAAAACACTGTCTACAAATCGCAAATAGTCCGCAGGCACGAAAGGCTCTGTCAGCAAACGATCCACAGAACTAACACACGTCAAGCAGCACTGGAATGCTTGCAAACTTCAGACCCATGGCCCATGTCCTGCACGAAGCCCTTGGATTTGCCTTACATGATGTGTCAGCGCATCGGCATTTACACTGACACCGAACCGCCACCCTTCGCATGCAAGGCGAGCGCTGTCAAACACAGCATCTGGCCAAGGAACTTGGAAAGTGAAAGGGGAAGCAAATGCCATCCTCCCAAACAAGCCAGAATGGCTCTCAGGCTGTCACAACAAGGCACTCACTGTCAGCAATGTGTATGATTACTGCAAAAAGCATCTACAAAATATTTAGCACAACGTGAGAACTCAGCCTGCAGACATGGAGCTGGGATTTGGGAAGCAGCTCACATTCAGTCCCCTCAGACATGCTCGGAAATACTTGGCTCTTGATTCTTGACCCCTGCAGCTCCTGCATTGCGTCTTCTTGGCTGCGGCGGATGGCCAGAAGACGCGCCTATCAGGCACAATGTGTTGCATGGCTCGAAGTGAGGATGGATCCTGGGCAAGCATCCTCCTGGGTTATGCGGGGGCATAGGAGCAAGTGTAAAGGCTGCAGGTCAAAAGAATATCAGGGGAGATAGGACTGACAGCAGCGTGCAAAACCCGCCATCTGATCCGCAATGCCCTCATCGTGGAAGGGCGTCTGTCCGGCCAAGAGCTCCTTAGCAATCCAGCACATGGCACAATGTCTAGTCTAGAACCCTGTCCAGCACAGCCAGTTTGGACCGGAAAGTGGAGTTCGAATCTAAAGTGTCTTAAGTCAAGTTGTCACCTGGAAGAGAGCAGCTGGAAAGGATGCGAGATGGCTATGTCATGTGCCCCATCTGAGTACCAGTGCAGATATCACGTTTGGACCAAGGACCTAGATTCCCTAGATGCCTGGCCGTCTTGCTGTGTGATGCGGACAATACATGTTTTTTCAGCAACCTTTTTGCCACGTTCGGCTGTCGGAGGCCAAAGCAACTTCTGCCCTTCGCTTCGGGACTGCAAGCTTAGTCGGCCAAGCCTGCACAAGTGTCCGGCTGCCCATGCCCGTGCCAATCGCATCGACAGTGGTGGTGAGATGCGCGAGCCAGCACCCATGTATGTTAGCTCGCCTACCCTTGGCCCCCATCTCGCGTCTCCAAGCAACCAGTCTACGCGCAGCTCATCCAGTCCTGCTGTCCTGCAAATACGCTCCGAGGAGTCGCGAATGTAAGGCCAGGAGCTAGTCAACACTTCTTGAAGTCTGCTTAACAACTCAGCTGGAAGATTACGTCCGTAGCAGCGGTCCAAAGACTTACAACGCACCTGCCCGCGTGCCACAAGCTCTTGAAAGTCCCAGATTTGAATGATGCCAGACCTGGCCACCCAGAGCGGCGCAGGATGAGTATTCAAAGTAGCACCCACCACACAGCCAAAAAGGACCTGAACCTTGAGCTCCATGGGTGCATCTCTACCGCGAGGCCCGGCATCTGCTTTTTTTGGAACCAGAATACAATAAAGAGGCTGCAGGATTGCACCGCGAGTTACCTGCGAAAGCTGCCAACATTCTTTCTCCCAGGATCGATCTTCTGCGTGGAGGGCCTCCTCAAGGCTTTCAAGCAATTTGGCGCGTTCTGCCTCCTGTGGTTTTGGCCAGAGAGCGACAAAACACGAATTTGCGCCGTGGCGTGGCTTCACAACTACGGCCTCGCCTCTCTCGGCGTGATCCATCAAGGCCTGCCTCAGGGCCTCTTCTTGCTCTGCGTTCCCAGTCACTGCTTCGGCCAGCACAGGCAGGTGTAGGGGCTCGCTTTTCAAAAGTTCCGCCACCTTGCTGACCTGCGCCACCTTGTCATCGAGCCAAATTAACTCTGGCTGCCGGTGCCGCCAGGAGCTGGAGATTCGCTTGTACATTACAGCATCCCAAGTGTCATCACGGCAGTCTGGTTGAGACACTTCCAGACACAAGTCAACAAGTTCTGCTGGGAGCTCACACGCTGCCAGCAGCTCATAGCCTCGTGCTGCTTCAATTGCCTGCAGAAAGTCAAACTCAATCTGTTGAATGGCCTCCCCGTAACTCAAATGTAGGACACTTCCTGGCGGCAGAGAAGCAAAAGGCGAGCTCCTCAGACCCTCAGCATTCAAGGACACGGCCCGAACAAGCGTGGAAGATCCATTGATGTCTGCACCGCCATAGCATGACATGAATAGAGCAGATGCTGCAAGGGCAGATAGCTTTGTGGTATTGTCTGTGCAGTCTGTGCTTCTTTGCGCATGCTCGCCCCCAATAACGGCGCAATCAAACATGTTATGCATTGTGGTCACTTAAAGTTGGGAAGCAAAACTGTTCTTCCATCACAGTTGGCTACCTCAACAGCACTACGTGCTTGCGGCTAGTTAATTGAAGAACTTCTTGACATTACTGAACCTATCTCCCTTACCAACACCCTGCCGCGCAAAAATGCCTGACTTCTGAATGACAACCTTCGGCAGCAATCAATGCAGGCTCTAAAGCACATGGAATATGCTCATTCTGATACACACGGCCGCAAAGCATCCCATTGGTCATGCACAGGCTGCACAGGTTACTTGCCGGAACTCTCGGGTGGACTGCTGGCAGGCAAGCATCATAAACCATCACTCCCAATGCCCACCAGTCCACAGACACGTCGTGCTCGTGCGGAATGTCGATCACTTCTGGTGCAATGTATTCAGGTGTGCCAACGAGTGTATTGGTTTTGTTGAGCACCTTGCCACAGACAGGCGTCAGGGATAGGCTGCACATCCCTCTGCAACAAGGGAGTTTTGGTTTTAGTGTATTGGCAGTAGCCGGACGACGACGCCTGGTGTACAGTCCACATGCCAACACATGGGGTACGTCTGATCAAGCCTCCAAACAAGCTTTCCCACTTTTTTTTTCAACCCCCCCCTCTCCCCGGTGGATCAATAGGTTGCAGATACAGCGGAAATAGGCGGGAATCAGACTCACCTCCCTGCTACATGTCATGCTACATTTGGAGCGGCAACGACTACGAAAGAGACCCTGCCCATTCCATCCCATTCCTGCATGGGTCAACATCTGCCACGGCACGAATCTGGCAAAGCCCATATCACAGAGCTTCGCATAGCCGTGCCTTGCATGGTTAGCAGTGTCCATATCTAATCTACTGATTACTGTAATCCAAAGTCAAACTGTTGGCCTTGCCCTTTGCCTCGGTCTGAAACCCGAAGGCTTGCACAAAGATAGAAAAACAGAGAACAGAGAGGTGTTTATATACATATATGTATATACATATATATGTTCACTTGGACTTGTATTCTGTGAATATACTTGGCAGTGAACACCTCAAACTCAACATGCGCATCATTGGGGAAGCCCGCCGCTGCTGTGCTCAAAAGTTCAAGATCTTCGCACCAAGCAGCTCATCCAGCATCGCATTCTCGGGCTTGATGTCGCCTGGTTGGGCTACAGCAAGGTGCAATGGAAGCCGTGTCTGCGCGCTTCAGGATTTCAAAAAACAAGGATAAACAAGGGACAGGTACGTGAGCATGCATCAACATGCGACCGGCACAGCTTCACGTCATCCAAGTGGCGGTGGGCAATACATCGCTCGTGGAGGTATTCCAGGGCCTGCTACAGTGACAGTCAATTACCGGCCCTCTGTCACCTACTCATGATCTGAGGTTGAACAATGACAAGACCTTTCAACTTTCTGCCTGTGAGTTTCAGGAAAAGTCCTGCAATGCAATGCAGTTTGAGAAGACCGCTGCGCGAATTGGAGCCGAGAGGCCGCAGTGAGGCAGGCGGCATAGAAACTCGCCGCCGAGCCGCGAGGCATATCCTCCAGGAAAACCTGCGTATTGTAGCCGCGCGGTGCAAAATGAACAATTAGTCCCGTGACACAGCCTGCGGCCGCGTGTGCAGCAGTTCCATGAGATTTCCCCCGAGGGCGGCTTCCAGCAGCATGTAGATGTGCTGCTCATCGTACAGCCTTAACACAACTCTAAGAATCTACAAAAACGACCCCGTGACCTCAAAGTGGCACTTGGGGAAGCAAGCTCAGACCGGCTTTCAGAAGCATCTTTTGGACTGAAATCATCTACTCCAACGAATTTCCCAAAGAAAAACCGCCGCGCACCTGCGTCTCAAAATGTCTGGTGGTGCACCGACACTAGGTGCCACAGAGGTGCGTTCGGTGGAGACGAATAACAAACTTGCCTCATCCAACGGAAGCAGCGGTGCTAGAGTGCACTTGCTGCCCGCTGAAGTCTGCATCAGAGTTTGCTGGGATTTGATGTCAGGAGGGAATTCCATGCCGGCTGCAAGTTCTAGCTTGCAGCCATATGTTTACGAGAAACAATGCGTGTTACATGACTTGTTCAAAGCGCGCGGCTGTCCACCATGGACAGCAGCTCCCTCTCCCAGCGAACTTGCCGAACGCAGCCGCTGCGCAATATGTGTCCTTTCGACATCACCTCGTGTGTTCTTCTAGGAAAGGATGCTGCATGCACTCCCGTGAGAGACCTTCACACATGACAGAATACATTTCTTGGCTGTCTGCTTTCAGCGCATAATGCTTTTTGGCCACCGTGTCCTGCGCGCCAGAGACGAATCCAGCAAAGATGGCCAGCAAATTGCGATTGGCAAGCTTGCTTTTACTTATCACGGCAGTCTGGAGGCTTGTTAATTGACTGAATGCTGTTGAGCGATTTGTCCTGCACAAGATAGACTTCGCCATAGGCGCCTCGCCCCAGCACTTGCAACCTCAAAAGGGTGGTACAGTCTCGAACTTGGTAACTGCTGTGGAGACCTTCTGTTGGGCAGAATTCTGCGCGTGCTCTTATTGGTCTCATTTCTCATTACTCATACCAATTGGTATGCTACTGATACTACTGCTTGTCCATATCCAGCATCACTCTCCCAAATGTCTCGAACCAAGCAGCTTGACATACTTGTCAGTGTGCCTGTCGCCTGGCGACGCAAGGTCATGCGGCCCCCCACATGAAGGCCAACTCGCTGCTGAGATTGTGTGACCCTAAAGTCCGGCTTCAAAGTCAATGTGGGAACCAGAAGTTACCCCTCAGCACAGGCACCTTGATGTTAAGGTACAGATCGTGCAAAACTCAAACCCAAGCAATCTGAACACAAGGTTCATCGAGTTCCCCACCCCGAGCCAGCCTACTGATGTTTGCGGAATGGCGAAGTCCATAGCAGCCGCGGCCACGCCACTAGCAGCAGGGGTAGGGTAGGAGACAAAGCAAGCGGGAATCTAAATGAAGCTGAATCATGCGTCCAAAGGCACCACGCAGGCATGCGCGGACTTAGCCTACTAGAGGAAGGCATCTCTTTAGCTACAGGCATTGATCAACCACAAGATCAGTCTTCTCTAGCCAACTAGCCTCTGAGGCATGCTGGAAGCCCCACTTTACCGCAACTAATTCTGACTCGAGCAGCCAGCCAAATGGAAAGCTACACTACTGGGAATCCCTGGCCTTTCAGCATGCTGGGCTTTGAGATTGCACCATTCTTCGATGTCAGCATGAATGTCCTCAAGGCAAGGAGGCGGGAGATGGGGAAATGGAGGGGAAGCGAGAGGTAGAGAGAGAGAGAGAGTGAGAGAGATCCAGGTAGAGGGAGAAAGCAAGGATCGCAACTGACGCACAGCAAAGATCAAAGGCTGGCTAGCTGCATACGGACAGGGTCACAGCAAGTCCAAAAAAAAGGCAACTTGTCTCGCGTCTGCTGCTAGGCGGCTGGAATGAAACCTGGAGAATCATTGTATATTCCTGACAGATTGCAAATACAGAGCCCCTGTAATTCTGCGTGTGAAAGCTTACGCATGCCATGTCGACCCATGCGCCAATCATGTTTCTTGAGAATATGTTTCTTGAGAATGCATCTCACACTGCAAGTGGCAGGAACAAAGCTGGCCGAGGGGCTGGTCAACAGCACTCGAATAGTCTCGCCGTTAAATGTGAGACAGGTCATGCCATTCTCGCCAGCATCGACGTTGACGTCGTATGCTGCATCCCCTGGTTGCAGGCCATCTCCAGCTACTTGTACGACTGGTGGTGTTAGATTCCAGTATGAATGCCCGCGCAACATGAAACACTCCATCCTCATCAGTGGTCTCAAGCAACTTCTGCCAAGGCGTGCTGCCAGGCACCTCGGAGGAGTGACCTCTCGCCGAAACAGCCCGGCCTCCCCACCTGTCAGTGGCCAGTCTGGCTACACATGACCTTTCTGTTAAAGGCTAGGTCAACTGGCAGCCACCCACAAAGCAGCTGAAGCACGCAGCCGCAGAAAAATCTGAGCCTCAGCGAGCTTTACCCTGGTGCCATCAGGACGGTCCAAATTCCTCGGCTTGCTGGAGGGGCTTCAAGCGCAATCCTACAGGTGGGGCTTGAGTGAACACAGAAGTCACGACCTGCGTGCTTGTGCTTTATGCTTGAGTCTTCTGTGCATGACTTTCTCTTGAATAACTACTGGTTCAGCCCAGAATCATGACAGCGTTGCCAGCATAGACCACATACCTTGGCGCGATGCCAAGGAAGCTACTACGAACATGAGGTCTGAAAGCTTGAAACGTGCCAACAAGCTTTTTGCCAAACAGTGGCCACAGTCTAGCTTGCCTCACCCTGCCCTGCGTGATGACACGCTCGCCAGCACGGAAGTGCACGAAGCCTCAACCAGGCTGTGCTATGGAAACTCTGCCCACAAGTTGCGCAAGATTATGCAAGATTGCACCTACATTGGGGCACGCATCTGACCTTCCTCACAGTGCAATCGTTTCTCAGCACTGCTTGGCGCCCGACCCTGGGCATTGCAGGCCAGTTCGTAGCGCTCCGAGCTGACAAGGGGCTCGAGGGCGTGAACCTGCACGACACCCTTCTCCAAAAAACAAAAATCATGGCAGCAAGAGCAAGACTCCACCAGCTGAAACCGTTCTGCTGGGCCAGCCATGATCATCTATGCATGTTGATTTCGTCGTCACTGTTGGTACATCCATTAGCCTGGTGTTTCTCTCCGCCCGAATGTCAAAGCGTCAGCTTCAAATCTCAGCCTCCTCCAGCAGCTTGCAGTACTCGTCAAAACGCGGCCTAGGCAGTGAACTAGCATTGGAGAGTGCCAAAACAGTGAAGTTCAACAGTGAAAGCCACTACGTGACTACATGTCACTGCTGTGCTTGCCTTTCATGTTTTCAGTGCCGTGCTTTGCTGCCCATATTTTCGCAGGCGTTTACTTGCATGTTTGCAAACCCCTCGCGACCCACAAAGCTCTGCCCGTTCAACATGTACCCCATTTATGCTCCAATAACACTGAAAGTCGTGGGAGGCATGGGTGAAAACACCCAACTGAACACGATACCGTTGGATATGCTCTTGCCATCTCTTGCCAGGAACCACTGAACCACTGAACTCACATTGCGAACTTACTCCTTCACAGCAGCTGTCACGCAGAGAGATGCAGCCCCAGCACTTGTGAAGTGCTTTTTGTATCTGAAAGGTTGGAAACGGATATCACTGAAAGGAAACACCTGAGGCTACAACCCACGGCGGCTGAAAGCAGATTCCCAGCCCCGCCCTCAGCTGGATGTGCGCTAAGCAATCAGGGTGAGAGAGGCTGCCTTCTTCACAATTTAGCCATGCAAAGAGTAATCGATTTAAGCCCAGCATCGTGGCACTGCGTATATGACGGATCTTTCACGAGCGCGAAAGGTCGCCTCACCTGGCACTGGAGAGCGCTGGCTCCGTTCCCAAATGTATCAAGATGTATCAAGTGTAGCCTCCCTAGTTGAAGGTTCCGCTGATTGTTACAGCTCGCAGTCAGGAGTCATACCAATTTGATATTTCATCAGAGTCACGGCGCATGTTGTAGAGCAGGGAAAGCTCACCTTGGCAGATCATTGCAGTCAGATGCCTCTGAACAAAGAGATGCTTCATGATGCTTTTCGGAGAGCTGGGTTCCAGGCCGAAGCTGTCCCCATCAGAAAGAACTTCACACTTGCCCATTGGGCTTGTGCTAGCCGTGCTGTCCTACAGCCGGAAGGTAATGCCAATGCACTTCAGACTTTGGACTTAGACTCCTGCAGGCTGCACTTGCGTGTGCGAGCCATCTGGACGACTGCATGGGTAATGCTTTTGAGTTTGACCCTATGTCAAGCCAGAGCCCCTGCTTCTTCCGCTGGCAGGTCCTCACCCATGCCGTCACTGTGCGGCGAATCGGGTGAATCCGGAATTTCCTCCAGAAAGGGGCATGCTGCAACCCAAGAGAAATGGCTGTGTCATGCAAAGCGCGCAAGGATGTCACTATGAATCTCACCAGTTTGTACAAGAATTCCCTCGCAAACAGCACCGCAGCGCCTTGATGCCTTTGAAGCTCGTCAGGGAATGGGAAGCAAACCCCTTGGCACCATCTGTGTGGCCGCCTGGGTCTTCGAGCAGAGCTGTGGCCAGTCTTAGCCGTGCTTCAAGAGGACCTAAACCCAGCCAAGCAGACACCCTCTGGGCTGGTCCCGTGCCCTTGATGGGAATACACGAAACCCAAGGCACCACAACCTCCCATCACGAAGCCTTCACCTGATCTCCCTACATCTCCCTGCGGCTCGGCCACGCAGTCGCTTGTCCTTTGCCCGCTTCGGCGAGCCCAGCTTTGGGCGCAGGGCCTCTTCTGAGCTCAGACTTATCCAGCTTGTTTCCCCGGCAGCCAATGCAACCATCACAAACGCCAACCACCGCCACCACTACTAACATCCTACTTGAGTTGAAATGTTGAACAGACGATTAACAGACGGATTCCATCTACAAATCCCTTTCCTCGGCAAACCCATCGAGGTGCAGGCCTCGGATGGTCCAGAAACACCACGGAGGAACATGTCTGCAGATAGAGGCAGATCCTGACAAGTTGAGTGTATACAGCATATAGAGGTCTCACCCGGCATCAGAGAGCACAATGAACAATGTTTCCAGCAACGTCTTCATGGCTTCTCTTAACACGAGACTAACTTGCGGTGATGTGCACCTCCTGTCCGTTCTTGGGGGAGAGCCTGAGACAATCCAGCTGGAAATCAAAAGCAGCTGAAAGGCAGATGCGTCATGTGTCTAGGGCCCTTGTTGTCCTGCATACCTAGAAAAGCCCAGCAAGTGGTAGATGCCTGAAATGCACCTTGATGGCACCAGTTCTGATTGCTTCCTGCAATCTTCCAAGCGAGGTTTGCCCCCCCCCCACCCCCTGCCCCCGCCCCACACACCAACACACCCCACCATGGGACCATATAATCAATCCCCCAGAGGATGCTAAGGCTGGCTTCTTCGAATCTGTCATCTATGTAGACATAGCAACTCACCCAAAAATCGTCTCCAGTGCTGTCAGATCTGTCAGGAGCATAGAACGGACAAGGTTGGCCAAGATGCAGAGTCGAGATGGTTCGACCCCACGTTCGGCATAGGCTTGGCTGCGATAATGTCCTTAAAAGGCACAGGGCTAGGGATCTTTTTGCAGCCAAGCCTTCTTGCAAGTGCAAACACTCCATGGGAATCACAAGGAAGGAGGTGCTAGACGACTTGAGACGGCTGCTAGTAGCAGCTACACAAGCGGTGCAGACAGGCAGCTGAAGAAAGTTCCTCGGAAAGTGCATGGGTTCATCTTTATTTAGAGTTCGATGAATTCAGGATGGGGGGTGTATGGGGGCAGCATTTTGCCAGGTTGCTGCTTCCGCAATAATCTCTCTGACATAGATGTCAGTGCGACGCGCTCCTCAAGTCCAGCTTAATTCAGAGGACAGCGCCGCTACAGTTGCTTCCGGCCGGTGCTTCAGTGGATGCAGAATAGGTTTGATCAGCTGCCTACAGTATGGAAGTGGAAGGATACCTGGAAGCCACACAACAACAAGCCCACTCATGCACACTCCAGCCTCTGCAGATACTCGCTCCAGATCCGATGGCGAACCTTGGTTCTGCGCGGTCTATCAGAAGTGAATCAGTGCGAGCAGGGAAGCCATGATCTGACAGCACGAAGGCGAGCAACTGCGATGTACACAACCGCAGCAGCATGTGAAATCAAACGCAGAACTGTCGGCATTTGGTCTCGTGCATAGTGCGTTGTAGGCCACGTCACATGTTTCAAGCGACGTTCCTTCAGGCCCAGCTGCTGAGGACGATGTCGAAAGAGCCCTCCCGGATTATGAAGAACTCATCACCAACCTGTCTCCGCAGCCGGGACAATCAAGCAAGTCTAGCTGATTTTGGTTCCAGAGCTTGGTGTGCAGGTGGATCAAACCCCCTATTGCTAAGGCACTCTCCCTACACCCACTTGCGGTTGGCAGGCCGAGCCCTGCAAGGCCTCCCCGCGCTTTGCAACCTCTTCGCCTTTTTCAACCACACGCTTCTCCGCAGCCGCCGCTATCTTGCTGAGCTGCTCCTCGAGGCAGAAGACTGTGAGATGTAAAGGAGCCTTTAAGCTCTGAACCGGCCTTCCCTCAACAGTCTGTGGCCTAGTTGCTCTAAAGGCTCAAACCAAGCAAGACCTAGCGGAGGAGTCCGTTCACTTTTAGTGTGCGGGACACCGCCTAATCTCAATGCGAGACGTACACATCTCTCCAACCTTGCCCTGTACTTGCCCTGTAAAGCCTCGTCCGTTTGGATCAGCGCTCGCAAGTTTGCGTTGCCACGAACCTGGGCCAACTTGATGAATGCAGCGGTTTTCGCGTTTGTCGGACATTTGCGGACACGGCACCGCACACGCAATGAATGCGATTTCTGCATCCGTCTTTGCGTGCGACTTGAACTCCTTGGCTAAGCCCTGCTTTCCAAGAACGAGATGCTGCCAGCCTATGGTTATGCAAACGTTTTGAATTTTCATTACAATGTTGAAGTCCCCAAAATCCCGCAGGCCTTTCCACTTTCCTGTCAAGAATGATCTGGTGCCAGCGCCGGGACAGCTTTCACTTCCATGGGTAACTTCCAATTTATCATGAAAGCCATTGCCTGACTAATACGAGAACCAGCACTCGAAAGCGAACTCATCAAGCCTGACCTTGGCCTCGCCCTTTCGGACTTTCTAGATGATGTACAAAAGTGGAAGCACACCTTGCTTCAATCTGGGAAACCATCCGAATCGGAACAAGAAATAGGCCTCGCAACACGGACACATCAACCCGCGTTGATATTTGCTAGCATTGAGTCTACAGAAGTCGCTGGCGCGGGATGCTCGTTGTAGATTGCGGCTCGCTTTGGAAACTTCAAGTATTTGGCAATGCCTCAGCCAAGAAAAGATGGGCTCAGATCTTTTGGCGCTGTGACAGCACAATTAGACAGGTACCTGTGTCGTGGAAAGCTCTTCTCGACATCGACAGAGTCACCAGGTTTGCCTGCAATCGGGAAGATGGCAACGGCTTGAAATGCTGGGTTCCCCCAAACACAAAACGGTTTTTTCCCCGCTCCTCGCTGCCAGCCCTAATGGTGGCCACGTTGCTGCGCTCCTTTCTTACCAGAGCAAGCCTTCAGAATTCACAAGCCACGCACGAGCACATGGATCCAAGCTGTTTGCCGAGCTCCTCCAGCAAGGTTCGTCCGCCGAAGTAGTCACCCTTCCTGAGAGCGTCGTATCAGAATCAGGCCCACCAATCTTAAATCAAGCGCCAGCACTGTATAACTTACTGCGCACTACATGGGAATGAAGGGCACCAAGGACAGAACATGGTCAACATGGAAGGAAATCCCAAACCATTTTGAGGATTCATACGCCCTTTTCAGTGTAATTTAGAATAATTTGAAATTTCAGGCCTCTTCAGCACTATTCCAAAATTCCCTAAATCAACCACCATTTAGGGTGAGGTCGGGTGGGGTCGCTTGAAAATGCCCAGCCTCTTCCACACCAAATACCAAGTGAAAGCAAGTGTGCAGGTAAATACAACGGAACAGGAAAAGGGTCAAAAGCATGTTGCGTCACAAGGTCTTTTCATGTTGTTAAGAGGCACACATGGAGATGTGGGTAGACTTTCCTCTTGAAACCCTGCCACTCTGCTTCATTGATTGAGGCATCCACCTCAGCGTCGCTCGCACGTGGCTGTTGCAGCTATCGCCACTCCGCGTGAGAACGTCTGCCTCGCCAGACATGATGAGGAAGAAGGCCTTGCCTGCGCCCACATCTCAGGATGTATTGGTGCAAACTCCTGCATCTTTCAATGCGGATTGGACACCCAACCACGTAATATATCGTAATACAATGTAGACGTAATACATGAAGTGCACGTTAGCTATTTGGTGGGATTGGTATCCCCCTGTCTCCTGCCTAAGTCTCCCTGCTTGACGATTTCCGCGCCAGGTTCCCACACCTTCCGCTTCAGGTTCCTGGCAACCTGCCAGCACGACTCAACGCAAGCCGCCAAGCCGCGTAATGGTAACGCAACCAAGAAGACGAGAAAATCATCAGGCGAACACTGGCAGAATTCTCCCACTCTAGCCTTGGGAAGTTCAGACCTGGGCAGCTGGTTTTTGAACAGGGGGACCGATGCCAGGAAGGTGACGATCTCCTCCAAAGAGTGGATTGTGGAAGAGCCTACAATCCAGTGCAAACCTTGGAATTTAGGCTGGCCTGCTCCTTCTGGATGTTGCTAGCGGAGAACGATTTCAGAGAACTTCAGCATGGGCTTGAAAGAAGCACCACCCCAACAACATCTACCATCAACCATACAAGACCTGACAACTGGGAATGAAAGTTCTGCACAGATCATGTCCTCGAAATCCTCCCGGCAGGTAAACGAGTCCTGACTGCGTCGGCGTCACTGGGACGAGTGATGAAGGTCTTGGAGGCGTCACTGTGCTTCCCCCATAAACAAAATGCATTGCAAAACCACTAGCTGGTCCTTGCCCTGAGTGATGGCTCTAGTAAGCCTCCGAGGGTAGCTTTCCACAAAGCGCCAGCAGTTTGCCTGCCATTCTGGGGCGTATGCCAAGCAATGCATGACCTGAGTTAAGACCTTGAAATTCATGAGCGGATGTCCAAGGCTATCAGCTCCACCCTGCATTCGGACTGAAGATCCTGCCTGCAGACAGGACAGCAGCTTATGGGACACCTCCCAGCAGCCCGGAGCCGCATCCGAAGGCATGGCAGGCATGGCTTGTGTATTGAATTGAGAAGCCGCTGTGAAGCTGCAGGTGGTTCTGGTGGTAGGAAGGGTTGGCTGAGTGCAAGGTGCAGCTGAAAGTAAGGGGTAGGTGTTGGCCGAAGGCCAAGATGCCAGGGAGGTTGGCTGAGGGTGATGAAAAGTGGTTCAGAAGGCTGTAACTGCGGTTCACCATAATTCATCCACTGTCAAATGAAAACAGCTGCGCAGGAGGTCCCGCGAATTCGACGTAGCTGTTCAGACTGTTCTCTCCGAGGTTCTGCAGACCAAGCCATTTAAGGCGAACGCGCTTTTTGTGAAATGAGAGAGCCCGCTCTCACAAATGCATCACAGCCCTTGAAGCTCGATGCGACACGTCCCATGAGATACGCAGGACATGCTGCTAGTGACCTTTTGCGTTCCGCATTCACGTCTTCACTTGAGCTCTCCCCGAGCTCGAACAGCAGTGGCCTGCACACATTCCATGCACGCAGGTTCGAAGGCCAATTCCGGCTACACGGCCTATTGGACTCCTCCGCGCTAGCATCCATACCTCAAGTAATCCTGACACCTTATGTCAAAGATCTTCGCCTTGCTACGCGTCAACAGCTCAGAAGCCTGTGGTCCGACGTGTCCAGGCCCTTGGGCAACGAGCGACCAATGCCTTCAGGGCACGCTTTTGGACTGAGCTCCGGAATGAATGCGCTGGACCCTCGGTGACAACAATTAAGCATCACGAGGGCAATCATGACTCTTACCACAGTACCTTCATCCGGGTGCAGCAAGTTTGCTGCCGTCATTTCATGGTTTTCAACACAGAAAACACTGCCAGGTAAACAAAGCGCTGGTCATCTGTACGGGCCGAAGACCGAAACTTGAAAGACCAGCTTCGAAACGGATATACCCAATTTCACAATGTTTCACACCTTCAGGTCCACACCACACCGCCAGAAGCAGCTCGCTTTCAGCTTCCTGCGGAGCTCATGCACTTACTGGTGCTTCACTATCATTTGCTCTTTTCTTTGGTACATACCAGTACTGAACAGGTTCTAGCTACAACTGACCTCATTGTTGATGCCACTGGTACTAGCAGACTAGCATGTGCTCTGCCTGTCCTGTTGTGCACTCATTTGCTGCTGCTCTTGCTCACGCTCATGCTGCCGCTGCATGCTCAGAGCAGCTTTAATCTGCCTACTTCTGCTTGCTTTTGCGGTCAAAGCAGTCCCCCGATTGTGCGTGATAAACAGCCATCCTTGAAGTATGCATTAGTTAGACTGAAGTATGCTAAGCCTGCTGGGGAAAATTCCGCAAGGCATTTCTTGCCGTTGGTTGGGTGTCCAACTGCAAATGTAGCTGCTCCATGCACTTGATCCGCCCCAGGAGCGCCTCCTGAGCGAAGGACACTAGGACCCTTTGTTGATTCGCTGCTATCACTCCATGTCTTCAAGTAACATGCTTGTCTTGGCTACGGCGCTGCTATGCAAGCACCTCGCGGGGAGGTGCTGCTGGCCGCCAACGCTGGTTCAGCTCTGCGAGCTCTGGCCGCGGCGGCAAAGGAGCTGCCACAGCCTCACCCACGATCTTAAGAATGCAGCAGGATAAACAAAGCTCCCCATGCTTGTCAGGCCTTGATCACGTTTTCTCGTTCTCTACACTGCGGCCTGCCGGCTTTCAGGAACTCCTGTAGCCGAGTTGGATTCTCATCACCCCCCGGGCATTCAGCGCATGGGCTCCTCTGACTCGCGGAGCTCGCGGGCAGCGCGCCCGGCACTCACTGCAGCACTTTTAACAGTACGTTGAGCACGCATCCACGGGAGCCGGCGACGCGCATCGGCGACCACCTGAAGTTGAAAGTTCTGGCCTATGCGGATGAAGCCCCCAGTGCCTGGGGGAAATCCTGCTATTTATGAATCAATGCAAAGAACAGGGCACGGCATGGCCAAAGCGCTCAAAAGCAGAGAAGCCATCGCTTTCAGGAAGGCTGCGCCAGGGACCTTGCAACGTCTGGCACAGCGAAGGCAAAATCAGCCCCAAAGTGTGCCTTCACAGTCAAACCCATTTCCTTGCAGAACGAGCGAAGGTCACGCCTGTCAATGCTGCATCACCAGCCCGGAGCAGCATGAAATCACCAGTCTCGCCTGCAGAAAACAAAAATCAACATTGCCTCATGCTCCAAAGCTTGAATCAACAAGAATCGCAATATGCTTGCTCTGATTTTTGACTTTGAAGTGACCGCCGTGGCATCATGAGACCCAAATAGTCTCAAGCATGAAGCCAAGCTGAAACAGCTCGAGCGGCAAGGGTTGCTCCCAGAAGCTGTCTTCTCGTTGTCAGGCACGACGGCTGCAAACTCGCGCCAGAAGGCATCCTGAGGTTCATTCACACTCCTTGCGACCCTGTGCAGGCGCTTTTGGTTCGGGTTGAATGCGCTACCAACGCTGCATTGCTTCGGACCATCCTCCTCCGTCATTAGGACGAAGTTCTCCGGAGATGTGTTGAAATCCTCGAGGGATCAGCTCAAGGCTGTTCGGAATGAGAACTTGCTCGCTCCATCATTATTGGCTCTGAACACCAAATTCTCACTCCGACTTCCGAATACCCCCCAAACACCATTGCCCGACGTCTCTGAACCTTGACTTCCCAAGTAGGCTCATCTGCAGAAGACCGGTCCCCGAGCAAGATTGTAGTGGTCCCATCTGCGAGGCGCATCCTCTGTGAGGCGTTTTCTAGGGAATGCTGCAAACCTCTGCTGCTGGGTGGTCTGTTAGGTTAGAGGGATGCGTGAGATCATCTTTGGCCAAGCAGCAGCATGTCTTTTAGAGGTGCAAGGTACTCCAGGTATGCCTCCTCAGCTGGGAGGTACAACATGCACTCAGTCACTCTGGATTCTGTTGCAATAAACGATTCAGGGGACGTAAAGGACAGTTAGGGATCAGTCAGGTGCCCATTGCTGCTCCCTTCCGCTTGCAGCACAGATCTCTTGCCTACTGCAACGGACGTCTTTGCAGTGAAAGCACGTTGTCTCAGCAAAGGCACGTTGCCCTCTCTAGGGTCCAGCAAAGCACGAGGAGGATGTAGGTGCACCGAGCTGACGATCTTGGCTTCACGGGAGCACAGTCTGTGCAAATCACGGCCCAGCACTTGCCACACTCAAGAGAAGCAAGAATGTGCGCACAGACTAAGGAACAAGCTGACGATCTCCTGCTCTCCCCAGCTTGCCCCCACCCCAAAACCGCTACGCCCCCCGCCCCCCCCAAAAGCTGCCACCTTTTTCTCAGGATTGGCCGGGGCCGGGACCCCCCCCAGCCCCCGCACCCCACCCAGCTCTTTTCTCTGGCCCTGCCAGACTCTTCAGTACTTGCGGCCTCATTTGCCAGCCCGACCGTTGTGGTGGACGCGTGCTAGCGCTTGCAATTACGTACTGTATCGCTGTACCATGTTATTTGCTTGTGAAGCACTTCTGGGTCAAGAGGTTGACCTGACAGTAAGCTTGTGGCTGCCATCCTGGCCCTGCACGACTAAACATGCAAAACCACCCTCTGCCATCCTAACTGCAGGCTCGTTGCAACTTGCTGGTCATGGCTTGCTAGGAGTGCTGCAACATGGTCTCGCACAGCAAGGCGCCTAGGCAAGCGAAACACCCATCCAAGTCAGTCAAACAAAACTACTCAGGACATGACGCGCTTTTTCAGGACTGCGTGCATCACTTCGAAGCCCATCTGCTGGCATCTGCAGGAAAGTAGAGCCAAGGCACCCATTTTCAAGCTGCAGCCGTAGCTCGCAGTGGTCCGTTCCTTGGCCCGCCCAGTAAGCTGCGTCAATCATCTGATCCTTGGGGCCACCTTAACGTCTGCCATTGCGCCATAGGCAGCTTCAAGAAATGTTTGCCGGTTGCCCAGGCAAGCCGGCATTGAGACTCATGTAGGGCCTTAAGCTTAATGCAAGCAAGCATCGGAGCACCTTAAATTGCGAATAGACAGGCAGAAATAGGGCCACGGTAGAATCAACGCGCACCCCTCGGCCATCTTGATGCCAGGAGCTCTCCACCTGCAACTGCATGCGCTCATGCCACCATTTTCATCTATCTGCTACGTAATTCTTCTGCACCCGGCCTCTGCTGAGCGTGAGATGTACAGCACGTACATAAACTTTCATCTGCTTCTTCAATGCGTGCTCTCACACAACAGCTTGAACATCAACCAAACATCCCAGTTCATGTCTGAATTCCAAATGTCCCAACTCGGTACACTCAAGAAGTTCAGGCTTGCCACCCAGTGGCCAATGCTTGAGGAGGAAGGTCTACCTGGTTAGCAGCTGCTGGATGCAGAAGCGAGGGGTGAAGTTTTGTGAAGGCTTCAAATTCCTCGAAAACCATTACTGACTGGGCTTAGGCCTTAGGGCTAGACGGGCCCGCAGTGAACCTACTTTTTTGCTACGCCTGCGTTCAGGTCACTACGTGCTCTCTGTCGCTTTTGGCTTGGAAGGTAATGGCGTTCATCTGCGGTACATTACATTCAGCTTGCACAAGCATATAAAATGGGATGGTAGTGTGAGAGATTTTGAATTCTGTATGCGGGTACATACGAAGACCAGCCGCAACATGTCAAACTCTCGTTTAGGGTTCGCCTGCTGGCTTTGAACATTCACATGCCCTTCTTAATTTTCAACATCGAAGCTGCAACATCCGCGACGTGGCAAACATCAGACGTACCGTTGCTGCCATGCTTGAGTCTGAGTCTATGCTTTTGAACCCGACTGGACTATACTGGACTCCAACTTGGTGGAACGCAGGCAAACTTCATGTACAGTCGCAAAGCTGTCAAGATCTGTCAAGCCAAGAGCAGTGCCCAGGACTGGATTGTCAGGAGCAGCTGTGACTTCCACATTTCAAGCTTCCATATCTGTACTTGCTTCAAACTCCAACAGCTGTCTAGCGGCCGCGGCTCCGCGGCCACGGCTCCGCGGCCATGTGCTTGTGGATCAGTTGGACACATTACGTGTATCAATTCATTGCACGTTTCCATCGTGAGGGAAACATGCAAAATTACAATTGCTCATTGGGAACTTTTCTCAATCAGGAATGCCTGGGAGAAGCTGCAGACCCAGCTGCTCAAGACAAATGCCAGCTTCACGTTCGACAGCTTCCCACCAGGGAATAGGTTTTTGTTTGAGGTGGTGTGGCTCGGCCCTGTTTTGCAAAGGTGTGGCTCCGCTCCTTTTTGGTTTTGGAACACATCTGCTCAAATCCTGTAAACTACGGCATTTACGTTCCTTGCAACGCTTCAGCTGTGGAATGCAATGCTGCAAGTTAATGCTGCAAGTTAATGCTGTGAATTATAGCATCTGTTGCTCCTGGAAAGTTCTACCTGCTTTAAATTGTGGCCTTCGCTGATCTTGCAACGCTCCTTCAAGTAGTTGTTTGGGAAAAGAGTGGGCTTTTGAAAGTTGGGGCGCGGATAAGGCTTAGGTGTTGGTGTTTCCAGTTTACTTGCTGGTCAATTAGGGAAGAAAGGAACAAGTTGACAAGATATCACCATAATATTGGGAATCATATATGGGCTATGAGGATTTCATGAAAATTTCATGCTGCAAGCGCACTTGTTCAATCACTTGAAAAATTCGTTGCTACCTTCGCCGCTGCGTACAAACTCCAACCCTGAACACCAAACCAGCATGATACCTGTTTCACTCCACTCTAAACTTTGAGGCTTAAACTCCGTGGGTGTTGTTCTTTCACTGCGGTTACCATAGCCGTAGACTCCATTCTTGATCTTTTTTATTGCTATTGCTGTACTCAATGTCATTACAATTGTGCCGGAAAGTTTCAGTACTTCTAATAGTCGTGGTATTATTGATGTTAGAACGGTTGATGGTATGAATGCGGTACTGAAATTCGGAAACCCTGTGGTTTGTCGCGGAGACTACGCAGCGCCCGCCTGCTGCTTCGTGCAGCAAAATACGCATAGCTTTGAAGAAGCGCAGGTTTGGCAGGGAGCCGCCACCAATTTGCAAACAAATGATGATTGGTCGATCCGTTATTTCTGGCAGCCAGAGTGCCCGCATGCTGCTATTTGACGCAAGCATGCGCGGCCTTCCAAATGCATGGTGATGGGATTATTATCCGTCCTGTTGTACAGCGCATAGCACGCACAGCTTTAAAGAAGCAGGAGGGTCGCCAATTTGCTGGCGCCTGATGATCTGACGATGAGGACACCTACCACAGGACCACCTACTCCAACCTGCGCTACATGGCTACACTATGCGCCCACGGCCGACTAGCCCTTTCAAAGAACTCCAGACAGTATATCAGTATATCTGTAAACAGCTGTAGGCAGCTCTCTGTCCCGAATATCCAGGGCCATGGATGTAAAAACCTATGGGCTCTGCTAAGACGCGCAGGCACTGGATTAATTTGGGAAGCCAATTGCCAAGATCTTCGTTGGATAATGCACATTGCGAGAAGAAGGTGTGAGGCACTCTTTGGCAAAGCTGCTCGTGAGATCTGGGCACAAAGCCGAACGCAGCGCTGCATCCACCTCCTTGCAAGTAGGGTGAGTCTTAGCTGTCTCAGCTGTTCAACAATCCACTCCAAGCATGGATGCTGAGTGAAGGGACAATCATCAAAAACTTGACACGGCAACTGACCCACATTCAGTTTTATCACAGAACGAATGGGCCTGCAACGCCACAAGGTCGCAGCTCAGTGCCCATTGCCTGGTGGATAGAAAACACTTACATGCTGCGTGCTGGGCGACAAATTGTCAGTTCATTGTGAGTCAGGAATTATAGACACACCTCCCAGCATGCTCAAATGCAGCAGCCACGGGCTTGAATGGATTGGCAGTGTACAAAAAGAGTGGCTGGCGCCTTAGCTCTGTGACCTGGTAGTTCAGGCGGAGGCTGCTTAGCAGTTCGTCGCGCCTTGGCAGCGAATATCAGATGCGCAGTCGTGCAAAGGCATGTGCTACGCTTCGTACATGATTATGACTGAGCTGCCGGGAACCCGACGTTGCATAGCAGAGGGGCAAAGATGCAAGCTGGACTATCTGGAATATTCCCAACGAAGGATCAAGGCGCAAAGGCACATCGGACATGTCTCAGCTTGCACAACATCAGCAACTGCAGTGCAGCTGCTGTTGCACACTATCACTAGCACGCGACCGATGAGTCTTCAACCTTGAAGCCCAACCGTCGCAAGCAATTCAATCTTGCAGTTTCGCATTCTCTGCCTAATTACTACCTGCAGCTCTGCGGCTCCAGACGGGAGGTGCCAAGTGCCTGCATCCGGCGAAGGTAGGCAGGGCTTCAATTCAACCAGCTCTAGCTGGCGAAGCAAATGCTAGTTGTGGGAGTTGCTCTACTTCAGGGGCTTAGGCTGAATGCAACAAAAGACCAGGAATTCGGGCCTTTTCCCCTACGATTCTCCTGATGGCCTTGAGCGGCTCGATCCAGGGACAATCTTTTTGAACGAAGCTTCCCTGCCAGAAACAAACTTTGATGTAGCGGTTCAACTGAGGCAAACGCCCGCTTCAAAGGTGACTTTATGGGACCATGCTGGCAGCACCGACCTAGGCCCAATTGCTGCTGGCACCCATTTTTTTGATCAGAGTCTGCATTTCGTCGCCATCGCCGGTCACGCAGCTGAAAGCGGCTGGAGCGGCGCAGCTTCGAGGCATAAGCCTCGTAGCTGTACAGGAGACGGATCTGGAGCAAGAAGATTTCAAGAGGGTTCCTCCCTGAAGGAACAGATCTGCTTAGCTTTGCGGGGTTGGGGCATGCTTACGTGTTGGGGCTGCGTCGCTGAAGCGCTTCAAACGACAACAGAGCTTTGACCCCATAATTACCTTGATACAACCTCCACAGAGTCACGAGTGAGCACCCAGAGAAGTCAGGATGCGATCGTCTTGATAGCCGCTGCCAGCCATCACCTGTCAACAGCTAGCCCAAGGTGCCCAGAGGAGGTTCGTTCGAAAATCTCCCCTCATGATGCCGAGGCATCTGAAGCTCTCAGAACAGGAACATGACATGCAGCAACTGTAGCATGAGTTGCTGTCTCTGGAGAGCCTTGGTCGCATCAGCCTCCTGCAAATTGCAGGGCAGGCTTGGCAATTTGGCAAGTGTAAGTCTTATGCATTGAGAACGAATTCACGACTTGCTGTGCCTTTCTGCAAGGCACTCAAATGCACAGTGTCAAAACACCCACAAAGTACTGCTTGCGCACTTCTGCTAGCAAGAAACATCCAGCTCCTTCTTCGGCTCCAAGAGATGCCAGTGTGCTGCAAGCTCCTCCTGACGGGTACTACTTTTGGCTGTTGCTTTTGCGGTTCGAAGCTTCCAGATACTTCAGGCATCAAGCTGGTTGAGAATGCAAGTGCCCGATCACAATAGAGGACCTTGTTGGCTTGGCCAAGGTCTTCGTGGGCCGCAGGAGGCCCTCCACACCACCAGCAAGCGAAGAAGTCAGAGCCAAGCGAGGAGGCCTGCGAACTTGAAGCGCAGATTGCGCTGTGCACCATGAACGCATGCACAGGTGCAGGCGCCTGTCCAGATGCAAGCCCACCACGCTGCAACAGTGCTGGCATGCAGGTCAGGTCCCAACGGTAGACGAAGCAATTTCCCTGCTTGCTTCCACCTCTCCGCCGTCCCCATGCGTCCTGGGAAAATCGCACAACGGTAACACTTGCAGCAACCTATTCAACTCTCCCTTGCCTCCTGAGACCACCCCAACAGAATGCTCCGGACACTCTATATAGAAAACACAAGGCCATGTGGCGACGCTGTGCTTTCGCTTGTCAGGCAGAACATGCGCTGCACCGTCATCTCTCCACCAGACGCCAGAGTTGTCAACAGCCTGCCTAGCAGGAGCAGACATCCGACCCAACACACGCATCATCTCAGCCATCAAGCGGTCACGCGGAGTTTCTTCCTTGTCGCTTGGTAGGTCCAGGCTTCGCAGGACTTTTGCCTTGTCTGCTTCGATTGTATGCTTCTCTTCCTGGTGGTCTCCAGACGACCATCTCAGTAGCCGCGCTCTTCGCTCTAGGCGCTCAATCTCAGCTAAACCCCGCCCGCAATTGTAATAGCGAACAAATGCCTTGTCGCCTGGAAGGTTCCATTTACTCAGCAGCTGCTCGTCCAAAAGCACATCAGTGACAAACATCATCGCTCCATCCGATATCATGAAATGAGTCAAACGTTCCATCGAGCTATCGTTCTTGACGAGGTTGCTGTGCCCGCCGTACTCGGGCACATACAGAAGCGTAGTCTTCAGGTTGGACTTGATCATCTCAGATCCAATCAGCGGCGTCAGCTGGTCGTCTTTGGCGTTGATTAACAACGTGGGCGCAGGCATTGCCCGAATCGCGTCGTCTGGCACATTCACGACCGCCACGGTGCTGCGAATCACATTTGGGTTCCAGGCCTGGTAGGTGCTTGCCATCCTGAAGCTCAGGCACACGTGCCGGACTACTGGGATCCCCAAGGTATGTAGAATGATTTCTTGGATGCATGGCTTTTGAGGCATCATTTACGTCTTACCCTAGACCCCAGGGTTATACTAGACCAGGGTATCTACCCAAAAACCCAAACTGCAAACCCATTCTAGGATTCAAGGGTGTGAGGGTTTTAGGTGACGGGTGCTAAGGCAGATTGAAATTGTTGGGGCATGGGCTTTGAAACCTGAACCCCAAACCCTAAATCCTAAACCCTATGGGTGTGAGGTGTTTTGGGTGTGGCTTGAGGGCTCTTGGGCGGGCCTGGGTAGCCACTCCCTCAGCTCCCGGGTGCGCACAGGGTTTAGGGTTTGGGTTTGGGTTTAGGGGTTTAGGGAATAGGAGAATGGAAAGGAACACGGAAGCTATTGTTCTATGTAGGGCTTAAGGTTTGATGTAATTACAGCCCACTCACTCAACTAAACCCCCAAGCCTTAAACCCTAAGCCCTAAACCCGCATGCAGTAAAAAGAGAGCCATTTGGCTTTGGAGAGAAGAGGAGAAAAAAGCGCAGAGCAAAGAGCAGAGCGAGGCACAGAGCGAAAGAGACAGAGCGAGGGAGCGAGGGAACCAAAAACGGTCAGGGAGAGAGCTAGACAGCACGAGCGGACAACAAAGGCAGTGCTATCAGGCTAGTTGGAAATTCGGCGGATAGCAACAAGGAAACAAGGACGACGCAATGCAAGCAGAGAGCTATGGGGTCAGAAACTTGAGTAACTAGAGAAGGGATGAAGCGATAGAAGAGAGGAAGAGATGAAGTGAGACTTCCAGGCAAATGAAGATGAACCTACAGCTGACCTTGCCAACAGAAAGTGCTAAGGGAAGGAGGTATTGGCCCATACGGCTACCCAGCCGAAGCCGAAACAATTTTCTTTATTTGCACTGCCCCCCTCCTCATCCAATTCTCATACGCTGCGGGACCAACGCGAGGGGCTGCTGCCGACAGGCAAAGGCGCTCCACGCGCTGAGGAAAACCTTTTTCCATGCACTCCACACTTGAGACTGCAAGTGTATTCGCCGTAAGAACACGAACCATTAAAGCTTGCAGCACTGGATGCTAAAGAACCTCTGTAGAAGTAGCAATCTGAAACCAAGGCACGAATAGCATATTGTAAAGCAACCGCTGCTCCCATGGAATGCCCGACAATTGTGGCTGTAGGTGCTCCAGTATAAAGTCGGACCTGCTCCACATCCGACACAAAGTCATCGATGGTTGCAGTCCGATCTGTTGCATCTGCATCTTCATATGAGAGCGGATACATTTGGTAGACCTGCAGCTTCTTTGGCAGCGAGGTCTGTGATGAGAGCTCCTTGAGCACAGCATTGCGCCCATGAATCTGCACCGAGAGAATCTGCCAGCCGCTGTTGGCTTCCTCAGGCTGTCATCAATCTGAGCTGCTCCAGTTCAGACCAGTCATTTTGCAAGACGGTGGCCTTTTACAAAGCTTGCGCAAAGGTTTTGCAAGGCCTAACACTAAGCATTTCCCTAGTTGCAACGGACTAGACACCCCACTTTGCAAAACGAATCTCAACACCTAAACCCTGATTAGGAATGATTTGGATGGGCTTGAACATGTCCAATGCATGGTGGCACATGGCATGAGTGCAAACTTGTTGCGCATGGCCTCCCTCTACTCATGCACGGAACTTGCTCAAGTCGCATCTCGGCACCAAAAGGTGCAAAGGCCCTCTCACCAAACCAGCATGTGGTCTTGCGCCAGCTACTTCACACAGTTTTTTTGAGCAGTACACAACCCACACTTTCAACCCTGAGGCCTCCTAGCCACACTTTAGAGCAGGAAGGCACACAATCTTCCCTCAGATTCCTACTAGTACCCTCATTTTGGAAGAACTCGCGGCCATGCCACATTACCATCGACCCAGCCCTGCAAGTGCCGTAGGTACGTCAAAGCTCCAGCAAGATCAGCAAACTGACCTGCACCCGCATGTTGCTCATCTTTCGTGTTTTGCGGTAAGGGCCAGTTTATCCCAGTGCCTATCTCACGACAACGGCACATGTCAACACGGCAAGCTCGCTTTGAGTGCTGAACCAGGCCTAGAGCCAGTGCTTCCTGCCCGTCAGAGCTCACGGAGAGACTGAGGCCACTACCTTGGCAGATGGAAGCTGGCAATGAAGACCCGGGGCAGCTGACAGAGAGCTGTGAAAATGCGCCAAGAGGCAAGTGCTGTCATTATCCCGCACTTCCTGTTGAAACCTGACAGCATCTATCCGATGATCTCTTTGCATTGTCCATCCAACTCATCGCTTTTCAAGCCGGCCCAGTGTTTGTCATCATTGGACTGCTGCTGTTCGGTGAAGTGTTGGATTGGCGTCGGCATTTGTGCATCCTAGATACCCTCACCATAGGGACCCAAGAAAACTGCGTCAAGAAAGGGGACCCCCTGTAAGGATCACTCACACAGACTTCGGGGGAACTGGAAGCCATTCCGCGCCCAGAGGCTCCTCCAGAGATGCCATTCCCCCTCCCTGGAGACGGTGGCACACGAGGACCTGGCTGCGTAGCAGAAGATGTTGGAAAAGCAGGAAAACTGATACCAATTTACGACGTCCCATCCGAACAACTTCAAACTACAAGCCAGCCTTCGGCAGAGCAGCGAAGTCCTCAGCCCACGCCCCAATAGTTCTCAGGCACTCGTGGTGTACTTACAAAAGGCTAGAGTATGAAGTATAAACCTACCATCCCAGATCCTTGTCTTCGCAGAGGAGTGCTGAAGGGCCAGGAGGGGCTAGCTCCCCGAGCATTGTCTTCTAGATTCTAACGTGATGCCAACAAGGGGAGGTGGTGGGTACATGGGCGTGATGGGCTCAAAAGCTGCAGGAAACTACATGAAGCCATCTTTTTTAATGCAGGCATGGAGACGAGACAGTCTTACCACATTTTTCGAAAGCAGAGAGGCAGGCGACTTGCTCTCTACACAAACATGCGGCGACGTCCAGAATTCCAAGCCCTGCCTTCTGAGCCTTGGGGTTCGGTTCATGGATAGGATTCGTGGAAATGGGAGTGAAAGAACTCAGTATTACAATCTAACAAACCGAAGCGAAGGGTCGTTGAAGAACGATGCTCGGCTCTTCCGCAGCTTTTCTGCCTGCAAGGACAACATAACATGCACAAATAATGAAATGGTACAGTGTGATCCGCTGCTGGAGATGCAAAACCCGCAAACAAGTTCTGCTCGTGCGCCTTGTCGAGCACCGGCTGCTGGACATAGGCAAGCTCCTTGCAAGGTCATGAGAGAGCCTTCAGCCTGCCATTCACATGCCTTGATCAAACTTCCTAACCAAGGCACGCCAAGCCTGCCTTGCGGCGCAACCACGGTGCAGGACTCCATCGCACTGCAAGCCTTGCGCTACAAATTGTCTTCATCGTTAAAATGCATACCCACTTCCTGACTCTACTCTTCCGCTTTGTCAACTTCATCGAAATCACAGTTTGAAGAGCGTGTCTTCTTCTACCTAGAGGCGAAATCAGCGAAGTCACGAACCATAAACATCGTAGTCCTAATAGCAGCAACAAGAAAAACTATCATGACAGCAGCAAACATAGTCATAATACCGATGACAACAGTAGTAATCAGTAAAAACAGGATGAATAATCATGATGACAATGACAACAGTGATCTTAACGATGGCGATGACTGCTAGCAATGGAAAAGAACAAAAAAAAGGCCCTTGCAACGACAATACTAAGAGACCTATTGAAGTAGCATCACTAGCCACAAGAACAACATATAAATACAAAAACACCGCACAAAAGCACGTGCATTAAAGAGACTCAGGGCCGTAGCAACAACACTGAAGAAACCCGTGATGATGGCAATAACTACGGTCAGAACAAGAAGAACAAGCATCAAAACGATACTTGCACTCATTGTGCCGACCATAGGGTCAACAAAGAGCAACAAACAGTCGATATCAATTGTAGCAGTAAACGTACTAGTCACAACATGAAACTAGCAAACGGCATGATGCTAATCATGACGGTACACCCCTTTCTAAAGAATCATGAAACCAGGTTCAGGAGGGCCTCCAAGCGCTGCTCCGGAGCCAGGGCACCAAGGGAGGCCATGTGCATCCCCTCAGCTTCTCTTTGCTGCTACTTCTACTTCTACTTCTACGTCTACTTCTACTGCTGCTACTACTACTACTACTACTACTAGTAGGGGAACGTCGCGTCCCTACTTCAAATTGATTTTACAGTGGTTTCGGCCTGATTTTGACATTTCTGGGGGGGCTGGGCTTTTCTAAAAAAAATCACAACGTTGCTACCTTCGCATTTCAAGTGGTGCGGGTGGGAGGGTGGTTCGTGAGGACAGTAAGCACAACAAGCTCCGAAAACAGATCTCACAAACTTAGAAAAACCCGTGAGAAAGCTTGTCCAAGTATTAGTAAGGGGGATGACTAGGTTCCTGAGGTCGTGAAGACAGTAAGCACAGCAAGCTCCGAAAACAAACCTCTGAAACATTCAAACTTTCAAAAACCCTAAATTCTAAGGTCCAAACCTAAACCCGAAGCCCTAAGCCCTAAACCCTAAACCCTAACTCCTAAACCATAATCCCTAAACCCTAAACCTAAACCCTAAGCCCTAAACCTAAACCCTAAGCCCTAAACCCTAAGCCCTAAACCCTAAGCCGAAACTGAATATTATAGCAAGGGGGATTACTACGCTCATGACGTTCGTGACGACTGTAAGCACAACAAGCTCCGAAAACCAACCACTTCGCGCAGTATTTTTGCACCCCGAAATGGATAATAATGCACCGTCGCTAGCGCGACGTGCGCCTCCTACTACTACTACTGCCATTACTCTTGCTATCTTCGTTACTATTAGTACTACTGTGACGACTACTTCTTCTCTTTTGCTCCACTCTCGTTGTCAGGGAGTTGTCGAAACATGGGGCTTTGGTGGGCACACCGATGTTAACTACTATCAAGGCAGGCCTTGGGAGGGGTCGAAAATTTCAGAGTTGTGACATGGATGTTTCCAAGCACAAGGAAGCTATCGCTTTGGCGACGGCACCCCCAAGCGGGGCACCCAGTTCCAAGTTTCAGAATAAAAACAACTATTCATTATTGTTAAAAATCTTCGAATTTGTGTTTCATTTGGTCTTTTTATAGATGCTTTTAAAGTTGGAAGTTAAATTATATGAAAAAAATTGAGAATTGGGCTCCATCGCAAAAAAGTATTCGAATAAATGAATAAAAACAAATTTTCATTTTTTGATTAGGGCTTCGCGACAACCGGCTCTGACTTTCCAGGATCCTTCAAAGCTTTGTTCTTCAAAGACTCCGCACAAAAAGAGCTCCTGTATTTTTGCAGCCTCCCTTGTCAATCTTTCCTGCGCGGTACGCTCAAGTTGACCCAGGACTAAACCGTTTCCAGCAACTTGCATCCGCGGTGCAAGAACTGCCGTGTCTCGGAAGACGCTGCGAATCAGCGCCCTGCCTTAGCTCCACATGCCCCACGTAACTTGATAGCTCGGGCCTGCAAGGACCGTCATGTCAAAAAGGCAGCTGCCGCAATCAAGACCCGGTCTAACATGCAATCACAGGTGCCGCCACAAAGAGAAATGCTGTGCGCGGCCGCGCCAGCTTTGCGGGCGCAGTTCAGCTCTGCTTTTGCCTGGAGCCAGTCATGACACTGTGGTGTGGTGGGACAAAGGAACACTTGAACGCAGACTTCATCATCCAGGCTGCCGCAGCAGTGAAGCTGGCAACATCCTGAACTTTCCAACTGGTCAGAAGCACAATGTTCTCGTCCTGGAGCGGCGCCAGCGTCCTCAGCACTCCAACAGAAAGCCTGTGCCCGTCTTTCTGAGAAAGGACCTGCGCGAGGTGGCCTACCGGTCAAACCAAGGCTCCTTGGGCGGTCGGACTGCCCAAAACCACGCTGATCAACAAGAACAACCTGAGCCAGAGCCAAACACAACACCTTGCATCACCTTGCAATATTCACTTGCTGCGAACTTGATGCTTGTTCGCTGTTGCTCCGGCAAAGTCTGGGTGGGCTCGCTAGATGCGATGCGGTCGGAGATAAAAAGAAAAGCCGTGCTTAAGTTCAACAGTCGAGCCACGTTGACTCTCTTGGCTAATGCCCGAGCAAACTTTGCTCTCCGCACCTGAAGCTGAGTTTAGCCCATCACTCCCCAGAAACCTATCACATTCTGCCGGTGCCCTTTGCGAGCGTCGAAACAAAGGAAAAGCATGGAAAAGCTTTGCCCCTGAGCGCATCTGCCTGGTCGCAGGGCTTTTGTGTGGCTTCTGCTCCAGACACCAGGGGCATGGAGGCCTCAAAGCCTGGCGCGAAGTCTGGAAATGGTGGTGCTGGAGTTGTGACATGAAGGTCTAGTCAGCTCAGCAGTTCGGCCTGAAAAGTTGTCTGGAAGTGCCTCTGTTCGGAAGACGCCCTGCAACAGCTGCTTCATGATGGAACCCGAACAGCACTGCCAAACATCCTGCTCGTTAACCAAGCCTCCTCCCAAAAGCTCAAGTCCTCTCCGATACCGTGCAAGCATATCGCAGTGCGAGCTCTGGGGTCCAGGTGGCCATCGCCTTTGGGACCCCCAAGAAGGAGCCGGCAACGGATCCTTGCTGCATGTAAAAGCGCACACGATGCTCGCAAGCTCCAACATCTCGATAACAGTAAGACCGTCATCGATTGATTGAACCCTGAGCAAGGATCCGCGTGCCATCGCTGCACGTCACATAGTGGTTACCTCATCCATGCAAGCGGTGCACTCCAAAAAGACAAACACAATGGGAACCCTAGAGGTCGGCCTTTTTTTTGTATCTTCCCAGTTGTGCAGCAGGAACTACATGGCAACACAGTTCTGCCTGCCTGCAGAATCTGGCTCTTGCTGTGCCATTGCAGAGGACGGCTGTTAAAAATGGCTGCAGGCCTCTCAGGTGTCTGTGAGTGGAAACTGTTGTGCGGTCAAAGAAGTTGTATGGGAATATCTGGAAGATGGGCGTTGCTTTCTGATGCTGTTGTCATCTCTTGTCTATACCCTCTCTTGAACCATTGCCCTCCGACACCCCCGATTAAAGCATGCTTGGCGCACTGCCTGCTGCACCCACAGTTGTCATCTCTCAAAGACCAGTAGTGTCAGGGGGATCCCTCGCGATGTTGTTATCAAATCATGTCGTCATCCTCTAACCATCATCAACAATTGCATCAAGATCTGCCTGGCGCTGCTGGTTCCAGCTCCTTCAACATGCAGTAAGAAGCAAACCACGGCCAAGCAAGAGCTTGAGCTCTGACCACAAGATCTGCCTCAGCCGCCATCGCGTTGCAAGCGTGACCCGCGAGCAACGCATTGCTACGAAAGTTGCCAAGCGATACTTTCAAACACGCATTGACCCGCTGCAAGTGTGGAAAGGAGTCAGGGTACAAAATGACTTTGAGTAGGCCTCATTCAACTTTCACGTTTTCATGATGCGGTTTCTATAAGCCTGACAGGCGACGGTTCAACACACAAACATCCATGCAAAGCTTTGCTCAGAATCACCAGCACAACTGCCAGCACAGACTGGTTGCAAACCCTGCAAACTCCCCGCGGGACACGAAAGTCTCGCTTTCTGTGCGCCTTGCTGATCTCAGCCGTGACCTCGTCACAGTTTCCAAACTGTGGTTGACCACAGCCCCCTCCCAACCCACTTGAAAATCACACACTCAGCTCTGAATGCAGTTTCATTGCTCCGCCCTGTACGCCCATTTACGGTCTCGCAAACCTTCCGACTCTACAAACACAGTCACGTATAAGGGAATAGAAACATTCGCAGCAGCAAGCCCTCATACTCCGTGTTCCGGTGCTGTGCTGTCAATTGGAAGAAAGCTGTCAGACTGGACGTTAATCGCAGCGGATGGAGACGAAGCGTGAAAGGGACTCAAATGTCCAGGTGATTTATATTGTCAGCGCCGAAAGGCTTAGCACGACAACAGACCAGTCACGGAAAAGCTGACCGGCTAGGGGCAACTTCTGCCGAAAACGGCGATGCTTGCGCATGAAGCTTCCTTCTATTTAAACTGTTCCTCTGGACAGGGCTCCAAGTTCTGAGTGTGGTGATCCATAAAGCTCTGGAAATCCACACGAGGTATATGCAGTCAGAAGACCCGAACGCCCCTTCAGGACTACTCAGGCTTCTGACTGGGCTCCCAGACGCCGATCAATGGCAGCGTCGAGCCGCTGAGCTCCGCATCGCATTTCCTCAGCCACCGAGCCCGGTTCGCCTGCACATCGTAGAGTCATTGCATGAGCCATGGCTACTTGCATCCTAAATCAGGCGTTCAGGAGCTTCCGCACGAGCGCTGGGGAAAGGCACATCCAGTTCCCAGATGTGGCCGCAGATCGGCGGGGGCAAATGGTGTTGGGCTTAGCAATTCTAAGCGGTGTCGGGCATGGAGTTGTGTTCCATCCCGCGTCATAGCTGAGAAGAAACTGCGCCTTGCTTCTTGGAGCGTTCATATGCCAGTCTCCTGGTATCCGGGTCACCCGCTGCCAGCCTGCGAGTTCACTGCCGTCTGCTGCGACGCCTCGAAAGCAGCCTTGATTGGTGCAGGTTTGATTTTGCATGATGCCGGACTGGTTTCTGCTAAACTGCAGTGCCTAGGGTTTCGAGTCGAACAGGTGTGAGATTTGCCTGCAAATTTATGCGCAGGACACGCCTTTGCAGCAGCGAAGTCCCCCATGTAGAACAAAGCCTGGCGTATTGTGATATTCTACCTGCCGGTATGCACTTCCAATCCCTCCCAGCTTATGCTGTACAGCTTTTTCAGGCTGCGTGAGGTCGGCCGAACGCATGCCGCCACGTGAGGCGTGATATGATGTGAAAGCCCAGCTTAAGACAAGCATGCCAGTAAGTCGATGCCCTTCCAGTATGATGCCTCAGCCAGGAGGGCCCCCTCCCGTGCGCTCTCAAAAATCCAGTGGAATATCACGAAACATCTTGGGCTGGGCCCCTGGCCATGGAGCACTTAGGATCTTTCGCCAAAGCCTCCGCTGCATCCTGGAGCGTCTCCTCAAACCTGCGTATTCAGGTGAGCAAGCTGCCTTGGAAGGTTGTCATCAAAATCGCTGGACAGCACTAGCATTGTTTTCAGTGGTTCAGGTGCCCTCGCAAGCTGCTGTGAAACCGGGGCCCGGCTTTAAATGGACAGGATCAAACCATTCCGCTACCGCGAAGGGCAACTTGCAGACCAGACTGGCTCCACACTTCAGCAGCGTGGTGAAGCAGCTGCGCTCAGCAACATATTCTGAGGCTCTGCTTCAGTCCACGACTTTCTCTGGCTCGGCAATTTCACGCACGTCCTCGTCACAAAGGAGAGTCAAAAGAGTGCACGCTGACTAGGACCTGCCCGACTAACAGCAGCCCTTGTAGAACTAGCCTCAGACATGAACTTATGGGCATCCCGTTGCTTATAGCAGTCTGCCATTGATCGCCTCGGAACGCCTCATTCGGACTCTCAGAAGAAACCCCAAAAAAGGGACCGGACAAGGAGAGTGACCCCAATGTTCTTTGAGCTCCACTCAGAACAGGCCGGGAAAACCTGACAAACCTCAAAACCTTGCAGGTCGAGTCTTGAACTGCCTCACCACCCACCGCTTCCCGCAGCCTTCACCGCCTCCTTTGGCACCTTGAGCTTCGGGGCATGGCCGCGAGCGGCCTGGCGAAGTTCCTCCAGCTCTCTGCGCTCCTTGGAGGGATTCCACGACCGGATTCATCCTAGAGATTCCTAGAGCTTCTGTGCGAGGACAAGAATGAGAACATGCGCTCATCTAGTGACTACTAGGCTGGGTGTAAGGATGATGAAAGTCATTGCGGTTACGCTCACCGAGGTTTCAGGACTGTAGCCCGCTTTTCTTTGATTCACGAGTTGGTCCGTCAGACAATCACTTATGTGGACCACCAACGTTTGCACCAGGTCTAGCCGCCTAGCCTGCTGTGCTTCTGCGCGCTCTGCGCTGAGCACGTGGGTGACCCCAAGACTGCTGCAAGGCTGTCTTCAGTGACCCTCGCCCCACACCCCGGTCATAGCCCTTAAAACCGCACGCCGTAACGACCCCGAGAATCCCCCCCCGCGTATCTGGGCCTTAAATGAACGCTCTCGCAGGGGAGCCTTCATAACTAGGGCCTTTACCGAAAGCTCTTGCAGAGGATCTGTCGTAATTGTCCTTCATGCGCAAAGGATAGTGTATTATACTGTACACCGTATTATGAAGGATGATGAAGGCATGGAGGCTCCAACTCGAGCATGTCCGAGCCGCTGATGTTTAGAAAATCTCCCTGAAATCTCCCACTTGATTTGAAGAGGGTCAGATCAGGTTGGAATTGGTTACAGTCCCGTCGTCTGAACGCCAGTTAATTACTAGGGAAATGGAAAGTTATGAGACAAGGTAGGAAAACAGCCACGATCACTGCAAGCATCTCATCGTGAACGTTATCATCCATAATCGTATTCTGTCAAAGAATCTGAGAAGCACGTCTACTAAGCCTGCAGTAAGATAGACGAGAACGTCTGCCAGAATAGATTTTAGGCAAATTGGGACTCCAAAAACTAATTTTCTTGAAATCACGACTCAATAGACTTAAGAAAGGTCTGTCAGATCTCCAACTTCAGCTTTCTACATTGACTAGACCTGACCCCTAGTTTGCACGCTGAGATCATGGCCTTGGCAAAGCACTCAAAATTGACTATGAAACGTTGCAGGGTTTGCAAAGCAAAAAATGCTGACACCGGGGAGGGCCCGCAAATTTCAGCGCTGATCTCAAAACATGCCGGGGATCGTCTGCAATCTTCAACAACGTTGACTGCCCGGCTTCCACCATGATGCCGACCTCTCATTTTGTTGCAAAAATCTGTCGACGTCTGTTGCACGAAATGCAGGCGCAGGTTTAGAGGTGCGTGCCTAATTGGGTGGCTGTTCGTATGCACGTCCATTGACCAAGCAGGATTGCAAGATATCAAGTGTGTCCGGACAGTTGTCACGCTCATACTTGGAAGAACTGCACAGTCAGTCCGGGGCACCGGAATTGAGAAAAGCGCGACTCCACACAGACAGTAGAAAATGCACATGCGGCTGCCAGCTCCATCTGTGAACTCGTCGTTTGCCTTGGACAGTCGGGGCAAGCCCTCGAGGTCCAGGGATGGTTCAGTTCAGGTCTGCAAACTACAAGCTACGACTTTTTGCAGCGCCGCGGCCCATTCGCCGAGAAGGTAGATGCTGCACCAATACAAGGCATCTGGGATGGAGCCCATGTGCTCCTGCACAGCTCGACTCACGTACTGCGTCTTAGGCTTATCATCATAAACAAGCAGCAAACCTGGTCTGAAGGCTCGTCGTCTTCCGAGAACATGTTCTCCAACCATACGAAGATGCCTTCACAAAAATTGTCCATTCAAAGCCTCGTTCTTTAAACACTTGCCCTTTGCTTTCATGAGTCTGTGCTTGCCCATCTCAAAGCGATAGCCCCTGCGAGGAACCTGCGGTCAGCACCCATAGCTCCTGCGAAAACATGCTCACAACCAATCCAGGCCAAGGCAGGCACCCACATGACAGGTTAATTTGCAGACATTACAGGCATTGCTCAGGCAGAGCTCCAGTGAGATGACGGCAGGCATCGCAAGGCTGGGAAGCGCAGCGTGGATTGTGGACTTGACTGCACGCACTTCCTCAAGCAACAGAGCGCGCTCAGCAGTCAACAGGCTTCCACACAAGCAGTTAAGCTGTGGGCATAAACACTGAATGAAGGCCAAGGAACTCTGGCTATGCCAGGCCAGTCAAGCACACGGATGATACGACAGGCAGCCACACTCTCAATGAAGGCCTCGAGTCCTAACAAGCATTGCAACGACCACAAGGACATGATTGCAGCTAAAATCTTCAATGTCACATCCTCAAGTAGAGCATCTCTGACATGTCCCCTGCAAGCTCCGCGGCGGGCCTGGCGAACCATCCTGAACTTCCGTGCTCTGCAGCTCAAACTTCACCCTGGCACGTTCTCACATGTTCCACTATGTCTCAGATTCTGGCCCGGCCTAGTCTTTCGACAAATGCAACCCATCATCGCTGGACAAGAGACTTTTCGTCAATGCAATTATGCTAACAAGATCTGCGGGGCTACCGCCTGACAAGCAATTCAACCGTAGGGTAGGCTCGCTTGCCTCAGGATCGTCGGCAGCAAGCATACAAAGTCGATGATCCGCATCGGTTTCGTGAAAATGCCTGTGTGAAAGAAGCTTCTGCGACCGGCTGGCTCGGTCCATGGATGGGGTGGCACATGTTGACACACCATGAGACCAACATACTCAGGCTCCGTCCGAGAGGGTTGGCCAGGAAATGGAAGAAGAACTCTATGGCAAAAATCAATCCTGTGACCTTGCGCGGTGAACACTGCAAAACGCTTTGCGTGCTTGGCGGCCTGAAGCGTGCTGCACGGCGTAGCTGAAACAAAACAACCATGTGGCAACACCCTGAAAGATCTCTGTTGTTGCGATCGAATGCCTCCCCGGATCAAAAAGCAACCATTGCCACTGAGCGACAACCTCAACAAGGGTCAAGGATCTGCGGGCTGGTGGCCCGAGCTCTTCCACTTCCGGGATGGATTCGAGCCTAGCGCAGCTGCAAGCGAGCTACACATGGGCATCCTAATACCTTTCCTATCCTTTGGAGCTCAATTCCAATCTGAATTCGCAACACCGAGGTGCATGGTGTTGACGATGTTGATGATCAATGCTGCTTGCGCGAGGCTCATGAAGACCCTCCCCAAGCTTGTTTGACGCCTCAGCAGGCCTCAGCGTTCTTCGCAGTCCTAGCCGCTGAGTTCTTTAGTTCCATTTCAAAACAATCAACCTTCAAGTATAATAGGACCATGATATACCCAAAGAGTTTAAAGCATGACAAACAATGCGCTACTAGTCCCAGGGCCCTATCAAGCGGTACCTCAAGGGATCGAGGGATTAAGGTGACTTTGTAGGGTTCAGCGGGTAATATCGGGTAATGGAGAATCAAATGGAAACGAAAATGGAATCTGAAACGGAAACTGGGTCTAGAGGCTGAACAACCTGTGGCTGCGTCTCAGCCCGATCGACCATCTCTTAAAACACCCAGCTCAACTGCGTAATCTCATACAGGTTTCAAACGCCACTCAGGTGGGCATCGCAGTATCTCCACCACCCCTGCTGAAAAACACTTTCCAGTTGCGAGTTGGTTTGGCATCTATGGTTTAGAGTGTAGGACATAGGATTTGCCAAGATGCGCTGCGCTGCCTTCTGAATCGTCACCTGCTCATTTCGACGAATCTGGACACTGTGGACTTTGTTCGAAAATGACGAATGGAAAGACCCCCAAGTTGGTCCCACAGGTGCAAGAAACTCTGACATCAGATCTTTCAGAGGCGATGGGATTTTTAGAAGGAACTGGTGCTTCTACAACTAAAACCTGAATTTCTTGCGTATACCTGGCTCCTGCCGAAGGCTTCTCCACCCTTGAAGTGGCGAGGGAAGCCATGGTTGCTGGTGCAATCCGCATACTCTGAATCTCACGGAGATAATCTTCAAATTAGCTTGAGGCAGAAAACCTTCCTGAATGCCTGGTTGTAGCGTGGCAGCTCCTCGCTGGAGAATTTGCGCCTCGGCACGCTTGGGCCATTTGGGATCGCGCCAAGGAGGCATAGAACATCCCTACAGCCTGAATCTCTTCGCGATGCCAGGGTGCAATTGCTTCTGCCGGACGCGAAAGCGTCGCTGCAGGACGGATACCTTGGGCAGATAGAGAGAGAGAGAGAGAGAGAGAGAGAGAGCAAGAGAGAGCCGCACACAACATCCTTCAGGAACTGGATGGTCCTGTGAAGCCAAGCTACCGCAGTGACCATGATCTGCACACGCTCTTCTGCGGCCTGATGCGGAAATTCTTCAAGATGACCGCACGCCTTATAGGTCAGGCCTTCAGATGGGCAACCTCATACCGGAAATGATATTTTGGAAGAGTTGGGGAACGGGACAAGGCTGAACCTGGCGGCGCTCCAGCTCGCGCTGCGCTCCCAGATATTCCACAAAGCCACCTGCAAAGATCCCGGTGAATGTGCCTTGGTTCACATCAAGTACACAGCCAGGCCGCCTGCTTCAGATCAAGGCCTTTGATCACCCCATCAAGCCGGCACTGGCAAAAAAAACATCTTGAGCATTCTCGTATAACACGCCGCAGGCCTGGACCAACAGGAAAACAAAAAACAGAAAGCGGCGAGGCGAATTGATAATGCCCGAGTTGCCTGTGCAGCACATCCCAAGAATCAAGAAGACCTCAAGGGTTGACATGTGTTGGCCAGCATCTGCTTCAGGGACGACCAGCCATGACTTTTCACAGGACATGCATCACGCATCATGGAAACAGTAACAGCAACTTGCAGAGTCAAGCCCGCGGCCAAATGGAAGGGCATGGAAAGGCTGCTGTAATTGGTGCAGGGGTAGTCCTCGGTACCGGCCAACGTCGTTGAGCACGTGATGCAATGCAACAAGTTCCTGTCACCTCGTCTGAACCATGTCTAGGCTCACCAGTCAAGTGAATGAGTCCATGAGGAAGGCCAACCAGCACGTTGGCGAAGCGAGGACCAATCTCTTCGTCATCTGAATCCTTCTCCAGCACGTACAAGGTCACGGTGAACATGTACCTGCTTTCTGGAATCTTCACTGGACTGGCCACAGCATGCCGGGGCGTTGATTGGCTGCACCATGACACATCCCCTCATGTCCGCGCTGCAGGCTACGTCTCTGACAATCTGAAATCTTCAAGGCATGCTTGATTATTTTGCCCGGAATCGTCGTGGAGGCGCTGCATATGGCTACAGAACACAGCGGGGCACCAAACGCACAGCAAGGCATAGCACGCCTTTCGCAAGGCCTCAGCTTTTGAAGGTATGGCCAGGTCGAGGCCCCAAACTGACTGCCAAAAAAGACTTTCTTACTCTTCTACGCCTATTCTTACGAATGTTACTGTGGTTCTTATTGCTATCACCATTTGCCAAGTAGACACATGCACCGACTTCAGATGCTGTCCAAGCCACGGGTGCTTGCATCCAAATGACGTCGCACAGCGACTGGATTGCTGGAGCCCACGACCTTTGTTCATTACGCTGCCGACAGGGACCTAAGCATTGTCCAAAGCCTATCCATGCATGCTGATGCGGGGATCAGCAACCATATGAGTCAAGAAGTGGCCCAAAGAGTTGCATCCTGATTCTGGCAGAGAATATCGTGATCTAGCCATCTCACTCTTTTAGGAAGCAGGCTCCAGCATCATCAGCCTCATGAGGCGCAGTGGAAGGATGAGGTCCTTCCATAGATCCCTGACACCTGCAGGCCGCAGGGTTTGTCAGGTGGCCGTGCTTCGACTAGAGCATTGAAAATGAAAGACGGCTTCAGCTTGTGATTAGTGAGGTTCCGCCTGTCGACTCGTAATCCGGATGCAGGCCGGCATCGTGCCTCGTCCGCTTGTGAGCTTGGGCGTGTGCGGCCACAAATGTCCCTTTCTTTCTTTCGTTCGGGCTCAGGAGTGACAGGTGCCACTCCGGGCGTCATTGCCCAGCCCTTGTTGGGCCTCATTGCTGAAACTCACCCCTCTACACTCCATACAAGCTTCCAGGTTGGGGTCCTATACATTCACATGCTTGCTGTTTCTATGGAGTTGTCCTATGTGGCTTGTTAATCACTTGGCGTAGCCTTTCCCAGCCTAGATGGAGCCGCACTGAAAACTGACTTAGGGATTTAAGGTGAGTGAATTGTCAGCTGGGGTGGCCCGCAACTGTGGTGTGTGATGAGACTGTTTGGTGGAAGGGTTTGAGAGTTGCCACCTATACTATCCTAACTATTCAACTTGTGGGGTCCTTCCTGTTATGCAACTTTTCCTTACTACCTGGCACGCTGCTTCTCCCTCTCTTTCTTCTTCTTCGACGGGCTAAACCCGCCCCTTCGGGCGGGTCAGGACACTGCCCAAGCCCTGCTTGTCCGGTCCCAAGGTCGGTACCAGCAAATACGCAAATACCCCAGGCCCGTCATTTCTTCTATAGGCTATGTGTCGAGCACGCTGGGGCTAGGCCCCAAGCTCACACCGTCCGTTAGGCGCAGCAAGGAGGCTCCCATGTTCACCGGATTGTTGAGAGCATACCCCTTCTTCTTCTACCCCACCCCCTCCCTTATCCGGTGCACTTCCCCTCTCTTGCCGGAAAATGGTCGAATTTGGCCGAGGAAGGTTGGCTTTCGCGACTGCATTTCACTGCCAGCGCCTTGCTAGGAAGTGTTTCCCAACACAGAGACTCAAGCTCGGTTGAGGCACTGTCACATGATGTTACATGGTTCCTTATCATCTTCCGCTCCCCAAACCCTAATAGTTTACTGTACCAGCGCCGCGAGTGAATTACTTGGAGAAATTGACCCTCATACATGGTATGTACATAGGCAAGCTCATTACATGAGTATGCACACTGTTGCACTTTCCCGAATTTACAGCTACCTCCTTGGTCTGCACAGGTTACATGACTTGGTTGAATTTCCCCCTTCCCTCCTCAAGTGGAATCACCCCTACCCAACAGGGGTGAGTGGGGTGGTTAGCAGCTAATCGGCCTTCGCACAAGCTAATCGAGTTTGTCTTTTTATTCATGAGGCCTGAAGCATTGTGCACTCGGAGAGTGGCTTTGACTCCTAACTTGCTGTCATGCAGACGCCCACCGTGTTGAAAGCAATTTAGGCTCATGGCTACGGCATGCCTAAGCTCACCAGAAAAGATTCGACCTGCTTGGGTTTCAGGAGCTTCATTTCCCGCAACCATGCTTGGCGGCGTTGCCAATTGGAGCATATAGATCGTATCATGGACCTCTTGAGCGTGGCTGTGGATAGGAGCCATGCTCCCATCTGCATAGGCATAGCCGGTAAATCATACACAGTAGACAAGGGCAAACAGAGAGGAAATGGAAACGAGAATCAGCCACTCGGTTGCCATGTGTCAAGCAAAACAAGCAGCAGTTGTGTCGAGATACGTGCGACTCTGCAGACAAAGAAGGTGACATGTTGCTTCACAATTCAGCACAGATGCATGGAAGGTCGTAACGTGACGAAAAAAGCGGCAAGCGAGAGCAGGTCAACGATGCCAATGAACGAGAGAAGGTACATGCCCCTGCCGGCTTCAACTCAACACATCTCGGGATCACCTGCGAATCCACAAAGCCCAAGCCTCAGAACAACCACGCGGAAGACAAACTCGATGGTGAAGTAGGCCGTTCTTAGATCACAGGAGTGCAGCTTTTTGAGTTACTTGCTGTAGCTACTCTCTGCAAGACTCAAGGAGCATGCTACGAAGCAAGAGTAACAGGCTCGACCGCACAAAACCTTATGCCTTGCGACTCATGCTGCGTTCCCAAGAGTCAGCACGGCATCCGCCCCCACGAAGAAGTTGTTAAGCTGACGACAATGTGGCCAGGATGCATCAGCCAAGCAGGCCTTCGGACAGAAACGTGCCTTTAGCATCTCGCCGTGAAAGGCAGGACATTTTACTGTGAACTGGAGCCCTTTTGTTACAGAGCGGCGCCTAGATACATGGAAGCCCAGCATTGCTGGGACCAACATGTCTGCACTTCAAACTCGTTCTTTACATCACAGTGGGGGCCAACGTGCCATAGCACAAACACGGAAGCGACTCAGCCGACCTTGCACCGACCCTATGACTCAGAAGCCCTGCAGACTACCACACTGTCGAAAGCTCGTAAGAAGCCTACCCTTGTGCCGGCAAGGGAACATCTGCCCACTTCCGCGTCCCCAAAGCAACTGCTTAGAGTAAAGCAGGAAAGGGAGCACCACGCGAGTGGCTTTGCAGAGATTGTGAAGGGGGCATTCCTGCTAAGTATTGTCCAGGAGCCACACATCGCGCAAACCCTTTTCCGTAAGCGTTGTACCGACACTGTCCTGCCGGGCCACAACACTCCAAAGCATGAAAACTTCTGGCGACTAAAAACGTTGCAGCGCTCTACACCTGCGATGTCTGTACTGTACAGCTGTTCAAAACTTCTTGCACGGTCTATTCCCAACAGAATGGACACTCGTCTACCCTTGCTGGCTTGCAGCTCCTTCTCTTCTGGCATCTGCCCTGACGAGATGCAATCGCGCCCCTATGCCAATGCTTAAGGCCTAGTATTTGCCTCAGGCTTTCTGATGTCGGGCGGTGTCCTGACTGCTGGGGCAAAAGTGAATTCTGAATTCCCTCTCCAGATTCACGACTTTGCTGCATCAATGGAGACCTCTTTGGCGTCTGTACATGCCTCCAAATCCTGTTCTATGTCAGCTGCCGACCCTGCGGTAGACGCAAGGCTTCGTATGCCCTGGGCCTCAGCTGCTTCGGAGACTGAGAGCACCTTGAAGGCATCCTCAGGCGTTTCTTCTGTGTCAGTGAGGAGTGGATGCTGCAGCGATCCACGGAGTTGGAACATACCGGTCTCCCCGTCAGAGGTGCAGAAGCCTGCTGCAACTTGCACCAGGAGGCCCTGGAAGAAGATCCAGCCACGCACCTGAAAGCATGCTGGAACAACGACGAACAGCTGACAACTACAAGCCTAAGTGTTGGTCAAGCCCTGGACCCTTGGCATCCTCCTTCAAGGTCTGGCCTCAGTGTTGGAGGCTGTCCCTCCTTCTTCTCTCCATCGCACATCACCCTGCTGCGGCGTTTCCATACGCAGCTTGCCTTGGCACAGCTGCATTTGAGTCGGCATGACACACACAAGCAACAACTTGGATGACTCATTCTTAGATAAGGAATTCCCATACAGATCTCTGCATTCCAACCCGATAATCCCAAATCCTGCGGACCAGACTTCCAACTAGACTCCATGATCTCTACTTCGGCCACGAGATATCACACACACTGTTGCCAAGCCACCACTGACACGCACTTCCGCAAAGCCATGTCTTTGCGGGCGCCGGCCGTGGCCTGAGGTTCTGCCAACAGCTAAGTCAACATTGGTTCCTCCACGGGAGGGGTGCGGATGGGGGAGGGGGCTGACCCCCGTCAGTGCTTGCATGGCACGTTTGGATTATGCTTTTTCACCCCCTGGCCTGAAATTAAACCATCCTCACCCACTTCCAGCAGGTACCTGTTTCAAGGCAAAATACAAGGATGCGTTGCTACATGCCGCCGCCCAGCCTGCAGGAACCACACGTTGGCACTTCGGTTGCAGCGCTGCAGGCGCTGACGCCCATCTTAACCTTCCAAGCTCAAACGAAAGCAGATGACACGTACACCGTGCTAACCACAGTAGCAAGCATGATTACGCTGGAGGCACTGAACATGCAAGTTGCAGAAGTCACATCCTAGATTTACACTGAATGCTGAATCCAAGGCGTGTTGCAGAGGCTGCAATGGCGCCAGTGAGCTCTAAGCTGAGTGGGGCCATCGAGTCGAAAGCTTTTCCTTGAAATTTGGCACGCGCTGCACCTTCCATGCAAGGCAGGCAAACTACCTGGACATCCTGGGCCTGAGGAAAACAGCAGTGCACACCGAGGCTGATTTGCCGTCTCAGGCGCACATTTCTTCAAACGCAGCAGTCCTGGGTTGAAGCCATTATCGACAATCAACATGTTGACTTCATGACCCCAATCGTCATGCGACTTGGTCTCCGCTTCGGCCGTGTGCAGCGCCACCATGTAACTGTCACGATCACCAAAAAACTCAGTGCCAGGAGAAGCGGCAGGACGTAACCTCTCGCCATCTCTCGCCAGTTGCAAGAAAACATCAGTACTCACAGCCGAAGCCCACGCCTGGATCGTGGTCCCCTTCAGCGGCAACCACAGCTGGGACCATGGCGCGCGCCGAAGCTTGGCTTTCAGAGTTGCTTGGGGCCGTGCTTGCTGCTTGCCCTAGCAGCGTACAAATGATGTCCCCTACATTTGCCTGCAAGGCTTCTCAACGTCGTGTCAACTAATGTGATTTCCACTCTACAGAATGACTGCGAAAAATTCTTGGCTAGTGGATCCAAAACGCACAACACGGTTTTGCTCTGGCTCTGCCTTTCGCAAGCCCTGCACGCGGGGCTACACGCCTTGTTTGCAAGGGACGGCAGGGAATCCATGATCGTGTTGAAGGTCGCAAAGAACACGAACGAAATCGACACAAACCTTGCACATTGCGCGCAATGGAATTGACCCCGAGATCGGTGGTCCAGACAGGTTCAACTGGTCACGACACATGCCGGCCAAGAACGCTTGTTGTGAAAAGCTTCAGCTGCTTACCAAAAGGCATCTATCTTCAAAGTTGGGCTGTGCGGGGGCTCTCTGCCTGACCTGACGAACACATATGAACGTTCGTACCTCTTCTTGTGATGCAGTCCACTGCTTGCCTTGCAGCTGAACGCTGCCTGAGCTTTTAAGAAGACGTTCTAAACATCCTCCCCACTAAGTACTTTAGTCACGGTCCTTCCTTCCTCCAATCAGACTGGCAACCGCAGCAGCCGATACATGACCGAAGGCCTCAGCGCAACCAAGGAGACAAGGATTGAGAACGATGAAAGCCATGGCCACGGGCTATATCAAAGCAAGGGGCGGGTTTTGTTTCAGCTGCGCTGGTGGTAGGAGGTGCGCATAGAGCAGATTGAAACCTCCACTCTCCTGCTTCAAGGAATTCTGTCGGCGCATGAATTTTGATGCCCCGGCGTCCTGGCCTGATAGCCCAACTGCCAGCGGTGCTGTGACATCTCAGACATACTGGGCAGGGCCTGAGATGGAGATGTGCAGCTTTCTGCAGCTTGATGAATGGCTTCAGAGCTTGCTGGCCACAGGCCTCCTCCCCGTCTGAAACGGATGCCACCTGTATGAAGCAACTCAAGTCACTGAGTCACTCGAGCTCAGACTAGGATATTCTGTCATATTCTCTTGATCACAGGACCGAGGGTCCGAGCCTGCCCGACTTTGGCCATGAAGCCGTCGCTGAAGACCACGACTGGGATCATGCAAATCCTCGTCTGTCCTACCCTCTGCACACATGCTTGATGCTGTGCCTTCTCAAGATAGACCGCGCCGAGGGCTGTACCCAATACTCACGAAGTTGATGAGTGTGCCAATGGCTTTCCCCACCCAAGTGTAATCGCACCAAGGCCATTCCTCACTTTTTCATGAGAAGAACAACCTTGCAAACAGTCTCTGTCCTTCCGTTCTTCAAATTTCACGCCTTCCACGGCGTGTCGATCAGGAAAGGCATTCACGCCAAGATACCCCGTGAAGGTTAATGATCTCCGTCCACAGGGCTCGGGGCACCGAAGCGTAGACTTCCTGCAAACGGGCCTCTTATGGTTTCTTGTGCTTACATCAGCTTGAGGCACCTTCAATCCAAAGCCTCAATGCAACGAAAAAGTGGGCCAGGGCGGGCCAGGGCGGGCCAGGTTGCTTCCCAAATCCTTGGACACTTCTAGAAAGCGTAGTCCAGCCTGGACCTCTTCATCTGGGTTGTTCTTCTCCGTGAAATGCCTCAACTCTAGGATGGGTACAGGCAGGGTACACACGCGGGACATCTAAAAAACAATCTGAGACCGACTGTCTACAGCTACCGGCACGATGCAGTCGCTGACCCTTCCCTTCCTCTTTTTAAGGTCATGTGGGCATCTGGATCTTGCTACTCGTGCCGCAGGGCAATCCTGGACGCGAGACTGATACTGTTCGGAGTTTCCCGGACAGTTTGGGGTAAGGAGGGCCACATCCTTTTGCAACGCACATTCTCATAATCAGTGTCATGTGCAACAGTACACCTTGTGTGCAGTTTTCAGAAGTGCCTTCCCTCAAAGTTGCCTGTTGCAACGTGCACGGAACACTGGACCTTATGGCTGCGCGGATTCCACACCCGGCGGGGTCCAATTCTTGAAATATCGCTGGTTACCCTTAATGCCCATGTATTCCTTCCATTTCTCTCGCATTGCACCATTGACGTCATCCCAGTAGTCATACATAGCCTCCTTCAAATAGTCCGGCGCATAGTAGATGGGATTTTCCAGCAGGTTGTCATAGTCCCAGCAATGCTCTGGTTCTGGCTGACCCTGCTGCACTGTTGTGTCTGGGTTGAAAGTGCCATTCTTGATTGCCTGAATGCGGCGAGCCTTGTTCTTCCGCATGCGATACTTGCCAAACGTGTGAGCATGCAGCTTGCCCCGAAAGGTTTTCTTATCATGCTTCGCCTGCATGGCACTGTGGAGCTCCCGAGGCGCTGCGCAAGCTGCCCCGGCCAGCGCCAGTGCCGCCACCCATGTGGCGGCAGATGTCCGCAGGGGCATGGTGGGCACGTTGGTGGCAGAGGCTGCACCTAGCTTGGGAGCGCCGTGCTCAAGAATCCCGACTCCAGAGGCTGGCCCTAGGCCGGCACTGAGGAAGCATGGCCAAAGGCTCCATGTAAAACCGAAGCCAACGCCAAGGACCAAAGCCATCTTGTTTCTGGACCTAGCCGCCATGCCCTCAGCAAGGGAAGAACAACTCCAAAGCCTTTAGCAACGATCACCCCAGGGCCAAGATGGCTGACAGCTTTGACAGCTTCTGGCATAAACATGCAAGTCAATACCACTGTGAGGCCACTCTACTGCGCACCTGCTGCAGACCTCCTACATAGGACAAAACTCGACATGCACCACAAGGCAATAAGTAAAATAAACTAGAAGTCTAACTCCCAAAGGCTCTACTTGCAGGTTGGGCAAACGCGAGTCTTCGTTGGCACATACAAAAGTTCGGGCGGAAGCTGTAGTAGGCCGAGATGCAATATGCTGGAAATGAATAGCCACAGCAAAAAGGTCACCAATGCCTCAAGTCCACAAGACTGGGGCTGCGGTACAACACAGAAGCCTCGTTGAAGTTGGCCTTCTCTTTCCAGTAAGACAAGTCACGGTGGCTTTGAGGATCGCTCCATTCTCTCCCAGGATAGCAAACATTGAAGCAAAAGCGCCCACGTAACCTGCAGCACTGTTTAGGAAGACTGCTTCACTGGGTGGCCGCCGGAGCAGACTGTAGAAAATTGCCTATGCTTCCCAGATTCTTGCCTCCTAACCTCACCTTGCGTCCAAGGCTCGCTCGGCTTTGAGCACACGAAGGACGCACAGCCCCTGAACCCAGCTGACTTCTCTGCCTGAAGTGAGACAACTGGGCCGTGCAGAGTCCATGTTCGAGTCCGATGTTGTGCTGTGCCTATTCTCCTAATCCACAACATGATCCCTATCCAATTGAAGTATGAGGGGAAACACTACTCGACATTCGGCACACTCAGCTTGATCATTCTCGGTCGCAGGCGTGAGCCGAACCAGAAGCCTGCGCTGCAGAAGCCTGGAACAAACGCCAGCACCTGGTTTCAAAGGCTTGTTGCGGGTTTCTCTGTAGCATCTTCCATCTCAAGGTGTGGCTTATTGAAGAACTAGCAAAATGAAACCTGATAGGATCCACGAACCCGAATGCGGATACGTGACACGTACACCACAAGGATAATGACACCCCGCGTGCGAAACCAATCAGGAGACTTAGGTCCGGGGTCATCCTCTCCTCCTCTCTCCTCTCTCTTCCCTCTTCTCTCCTCTCTCCTCTGCTTTCTCTCCTCTCTCCTCTCCTCTCTCTCCTCTCTCCTCTCCTCTCCTCTCCTCCCTCTTCTCTCCTCTCTCCTCTCTCTTCCCTCTTCTCTCCTCTCCTCTCTCTTCTCTCCTCTCTCCTCTCTCTTCTCTCTTCTCTGCTCTCTCCTCTCTCTTCTCTCTTCTCTCCTCTCTCTTCTCTCTTCTCTCCACTCTCCTCTCTCCTCTCTCTTCTCTCTTCTCCTCTCTC